CATATGTTGTATGTTTCTATCTGCCCATCCGTCCATGCATCTCTAGTATGCATCAATAGTTAAGACATAATTAAAGCTCAATGCTGTGGTCACCCCTTCTAGCTCCTTATGGGGGTTCTCCGGCCACTCACAGGTCAAATAGAAGATATGGTCACATTGACTGGTCCAAGTTAAGTTATGGGATTCCCTACCAAATTAGACATCACTGTCAGCTGCTCAAATGGATGCTGAAGTGCTCCACTGCAACAATCCCCACAAGTGTATAGATTCTAGGCCATCCAGGGGATGGGAGTATCTCTATGAAGGCCAGACTCCGTTCACTTCTTAAAAAGGCCTCTTTAGGTCTCAGTGACTGTTTAGATGTTTTTCACTCTGAGAGTTGTTGGAGAAACTTCTGTGCCACCAAACCACCTGATCATCTAGATTAGAAGATTGCAAGTTACTCAAGCTAAGGTTGTTAACCCAACTTTTGGTTAGATGGTGTAAACAGCAAGGGAGCTGTCTAAGTTTACACATCCTCTAAAAACCAAAAACCACACAGGCTTTTGCTCCAGTAACTGCTGTCTCTGTTTTCCCTAAATATAGACTTAAGGTCCCTGAGGAGATTTCAGTAAGAAAAAAAAGAAAAAACTTCTTCAACTGGCATCCAACAGTGTGTCTTTGGGTCGCCACAATGATGTGGAAAAGTTTTATACTATGAAAAGTTTTATCTTGCAGGTGACAATTTGAATTATCCCAAAGGAGGCGCCAGCTGCACATTTGAGGCAACTGGATCTGTCTAATAGTCTCCACCATAATCTGATCCATTTTACCACCAGATGCCGATCTGTTGACGGCTATGCTACCACATTAACCCATGTGTCCAGACTCAGTGGAGAGTTAAAAGAAAGTAAAACAGGAGAATAGCAATGGCTGTCCTTAAGCTGACCTTTTTCACTTAAAATGAAAGTGAAACAGAGCCGTCTGACGGCATCATCTGACACATGTTTCTTAAAGGGACATGTCAGAGTTTCATCATGAAAACCATATTTCACAAATCTCTAAATAAGCAGCCATTGGCAAATATCTTCCTTACTGTTGACTTACAGCTCTCAATAGATTCTATTTTAAAATAAGCTTTTGATATTGTCCTAATCCATGCATCCATTTTCTGAACTGCTTATTCCCACATGGGGTCGCGGGGGGGGGACTAGCCTATCCCAGTATTCAATGGACGAGAGGCAGGGCCACACAGACACACAAGACGAACAACCACGCACACTCACACTCACCTAAGGGTCATTTGGAATGTCCAATCAACCTAACATGCAGGTTTTTGGAGGGTGGGAGGAACATGAAAACTCCACACAGAAAGGTCCTGGGACTTGAACCCAGGACCTTCTTGCTGTGAGGCTATGGTGCTGACCACCACACCACAGTCGTGCAGTAAATAGCAGTAAATGGTGCGTCAAAAGTGAAACTAAAGAACAAACCACTGTCAAAAGAAAACAGAACAGCCAGAGTTACGTTTTTCAGACTAATCTGCATGAAATATGCAAAGTTCGGTGGTGCTGTAATTTATTCCCATGCATACAGCTCAGAGGTATTCAAGTCACCACTTAACCTTCTAAAGTCCCTCTAGGGTAACAAAGTGTAACATCTTTGCTCTCTTCCTCTGCATGGTAGAGACGCAGGCAGGTGTTAGCTGGGTTACTTTGTTAATAGGGACACTATGGGTCTCTGTCTGTCTAAAATTCTCACGAGGTGCCTTGAAAAGGTTTTCTAAAAGGTTATTTGTCTGTTTGAATTATAAACGTAAGTACTTCAGGGCTGATTTAAAGGATAAAACAAACGAGTTCTGGACGGGGAAGTCGAGACTCCATCTAAACTGTTGGGTTCCTCTGGCCACCTTTTCTGACTTGGTGTCAATTGAGTCAGATTTTAATACGGTAGACTGAACTAGATTATAAATGCATCGTAATGAATTGCTTAAATTATATTTTAATTAATAGGATTTATCTGGATTATCATAAATTGGATTTAATTTGACTGTATCTGATTGGATTAGTTTTGAACATGTTCCATTTCGTCTGAGAAAAGCCTCCTGATGACGACTGCTGTAGAGCGGCGCAGAACTGAACTGCGCAGTTTTCACACACTGTTACAAACACAAGTCTTTCTCTCTTGATTCATTCCTTCAAACTTGCAAGCAAATTATTGGAAGCCTGAAAGCCATTAATGAAATCTAAAAAAAAAAGTAATTATGTTCTTTAAATGGGTTTTCCCTCCACACAGGGGGAAAAAACTGAGCATCAGCTTTCCCCTTTGGTTAGAAACAGACTGTTTTATGACTTTAGATTATAAAGAAGCACACACATACCAACCCTAAATAATGAAACACCTTGCATGTAGGTCAAGTTTTACCAACCTTTGCTCCTCAATTTCACACCCATGAAAAATTAAGCTCTTTATGTGAGTAAGACAAGTCGGATGGTCTCAGTAATAATGTGATGCCATAGCTTCTACATCCAAACGAAATGATGCTCATGTCCTGGGATTTATGTCTTATTTATCACTAAAGTCGGGGAGTTAGTTTTAGGAAAATATGCACAAAAAACAGCCCTCTTAATTTCGAAAATAATAAGACCTCTGCTGAAGTCCGGCAGACACCCCATGCGCCCATGTGCCTTCATGCATGATTCTCATGCAGTCACTTGGACTCTCTAAGGTTTGATAACTTCTAATTACCTTTTCTTGTTTTGAACCTCAACCTCTGGTGGCCTGGATGGCATTTACAACATAGAACGCCACACTGCTTATCAATAAAATACCCAGCAACATTTCTACTGGTGGCTGGCTTTGTCTTTTTGTCTTTCTGCTAGATTTGTATATATATATATATATATATCTTTATAATAATTTAGGTTTATTTCAATATCTATCATACATATCTACCTTACAGGTCATGATCATGTACACAAAACTGCATTAGGCAACGTGATTACTACTGTCCCTATGTAGGAAAGTAAACCCCTCAAGTTAACCGCCTCTAATAAGTTTGACCGAATTTTCGAAGGTTTCTTATAAAAAACACGGGGGCACGCAACTCATTCTGACCGGACAGGAATGGAAAACTCAGGCAGAAATTAGATAATGCAGCGGGTCACACGGGCATCGAAAAAGTAGATCAGCAAGCAGGAAATGGTGCTCTTCTGCCCATAAACCCAACACAGGTCAGGGCTCTGCTGGCTACAGCTTTCAATGTCCACCCCCTTATACCCACAAACCCCTGATGTTATTTTCTGGAAAGGATTTTGATTACGCTCCCACGGCCAAATTCCATCGTAGTATTCAAAATGACTCGCACCAAATGTGTCAGTCGGCGAGCAAATCTGGCCAGTAGGAACCCTAAGTTGTCGTGTTTCTGAGGTAAGTTTTGAACACTCCTCCCACTGCGATTCGAGGAGTCCCTCCCCCCCAGAGACTGTTCTTAATCGGGAGGAGTTCATTAGTATACTGTAGCCTTCTAATCTTTTTTAAAGCATTTTATAATAAGACGGAGACCAGCTCGTGCCCGCTGAGAGTCCCTCTCTAGCTCGCAAGATTAAAGTCCTCTAAATGACCGCCTTTGGTCCTTGGCTGAGATGTTTCCCCCCTTTAATCAGACATCAGTCCTCATCGCTCCCCTGTTCCTCTGACACCAGTCACACACGGGCAGCTGGGAATCTCTCCGAAACCGCCAGCCAATTAGGCGGGGACATGAAAAAGATGAAAGCCCTATTATCACGCTGTCTTCGGCCATACGTCGAACCAATTAAGGGCGATGAGCGGGGGGACGAAAAGAAAAAAAAAAAGATAGCATGAAAGAAAGAAAAGGAAGGCGCCTCCTCCGGCCCAAGGTGAGGAGTCAGCAAAGACGCTGACAGAACAGACACCGAGAGGCTTAATTGATCTTCATTATGGTAATTATGGCCGCGGCGTCCAGCACGGAATGAAAAACAGGTCACCACCGGCGGTGCACGGACCTGGTTCTATACTAAGCCCTCCGTGAAGCCCTCCAAGGCTATAGGGATGCCTATACAGGCAGTAGCTGATGTACAGCACCTTAAAAAGGCCATCACTTGCTTTGCTCTGTTCCTTCTTTAGGTTCTCCCCTTCACAATGCCTCCAAAAATCTACATGTTCCTCATTGGTGTTTGTCAAAGCTTGAAGAGTCGTGCACTTGAAAGGTTTTTTGTGTTTGATTTCGGCCCCCGTCCGCCCACCCCGCCCCACCCCTACCGTGTCCACTTCGCAGTCCTTGGACGGTTGCACTGTCAGAGATTCTGGCTCCGCTCTTGCATTTAAATAAACACCATCTGAAGTTGACTGGCTGTGTATAATATCTGTCAGGAAGCTGCCACCCGGTGATCTCAGAGACTCTGACCCGCGTCCCGGGGGAGCAGTTGACGGGACACGGCGGTGACAGGGCGTCTTCCCTGTCGATCCGCGCGCCGATACGCCTAACCCCCTCGTCCCTCTCCACTCAAAAGTCGAGCGGCTCGACTGTCTGCCCCCATGCATTGGAAATGAGCCCCAGCTGGCTGGGAGAATTGCCACGAACGGTGGCCCGGACAAGAAAAAACACAAGTTTCAAAGTCGCCCGTCACCAAGATTGACGGGTTTCTCGGAATTCTTGTTGTCCTCTTGTCAGTACCGTAAACTTTTCCTCGCTGAATAATAAGTCCGTCGGTTTTAAGAGCCGTGTCAATCTTTTCAAAGTTCACACTGCAGAACTCCCGCTTTCCGGACTGCTTCCAAAGGTCTGACAGCGGTAGAGAGTTGAGAGCAGCGAAAAAAAGGAGAAGTGTGTTTTCAGCTTGCGTCAACCCAAAAATCGATCGGATTAAGCTGAAGGCACACAACTTCTCTCACTTATCAAGACATTTCAGACATTAGTTGGTGGTAATTTAACAGCGGCCTCAAGTCAGAAGGAGTCATGTCGATGCTATTGGTGCAGGAGATGTTTACTTTTACTCATTTTACACTCTAAACAGAATGGTAATACCATTTTTCACCCCCATTTTCTTTGTTACTACACACCCATCTTTGCATTCCAGGTCTTTTTCCATTTCTTTTTTAGATTGTGTCTAAGGTTAAAATGATGATAACACTTGGTGAAGTGTGTCAAGTGTTCCTTAGTGCCATTGTGCGACATTAATGGAACTTATTTTTCCACATTTATCCAAGTGGTTATCAATTCGTTGTGTTTCTTTGTGTACTACAATAATACAATCTCACTTTGGGATTAATAAAGTATAATTCGATTCAATCTCCATCCCAATTTGCCACATGATATGTTGATGTTATCACCCAGGAGAATTAATTATTTTAATGGTTATTATGAAAATCCCGCAGTCTCTATTTTCCACCAATTTGATAGAAAAACCTGATAAAAACCTGAGAAACGACGTATGTTTTCATAACAAGTCAATCCATTCAAAGCCTCTTTTTTTTCTTCCTATAATGGAAAAAACAGTCCCTTTTTTAGCCATAAACCTATTTTCGAACACTGTGACAATCGATGGGCATAACAATAAAATGATGCAAAAAGAAAGTAATTCTCTCACTATCTTTTAGTGACAATTTAGTGACGGTTTTCCACAAAGCATCTGCATTTAGGTACTTTTGTTCAGACTGAACAGATACACTAAATCAGCTTGTCTACAATCATCCCTGGCTTCCAGCTGAGGTTACATTAACTTTGTATGTTTCACGCACTGAAAATCCTCATTTCGGGATCGAAACCAGCAAAGTACATTGATAGGAAAAAATTGTACTGTTCCTTTTAAATACACCCTCAGCAGAAATGAGTGAGGCGGTACCTTGGTCTTGTCGAACAAGGCGTGGTTGTCCAGTAGCATCCGTCGCTCCAGTCGAGCATACCTCCTCAGGTCTCTCTCAAACTGCTGTGAAAGAGAAAGTCAATAGTCTGAAATCAATAATCCTCTTTACTTCTCTATTCTGTAGCATGGGAGGAAATTGTAAGGTCTGAAAGTCTTAGTGAAGGACACCTTTCATATCACTTTGATACCACCATCTGGTTTGTAGACGTCAGATTTCGCTCATGCCTCAGACATCGCAAACGTGTACGGTGTAATTCTTCATACCCTGGAGCCCGTCCAGCCAAGGAGGGCAAAGGCGTAGCGATCGGCGGGGGGGGACACCAGGTCCACGCGCACCGCCCTCCAGCCCCGGCCGTCTGCCCGGCAGCCGTGGAGGCCTCCCTCCACCCGGCTGCCCTCCAGCCGCACGATCAGGAAGCACTTCGCAAAGTGGTCCATGGCCTCGAACCTCCGGCTGGGGAGCTTCGACATGTCAAAGGTAGAGGCTTGGTATTCGCAGAAGAGAAGAATGCCCTGGCGTAGAGAAAAATGGGGTCATTTATTTGTTTTTTTTTCGTTTTTTCTGCAATGTGATCAATCAATTGTTATCCATCTGTTCATATGAGAATTCAATTCTTTCTTCGACACTTAACCGAAGACTTTTTATTACATTTATTAGAGCTTTTCACTCCTATTGATCTGTATAAAAATTATGTGAAATAAATGTGCTGAGTTGTGTCTTTTAAAGAGGAGCAGAGGGGAAAATGAATCAAAGAATGTGACTTTGTCCCCAGCATTTGCCAAATCAGCAAAATCGTCAGTCTAGCTGTGGCGATTAACGACAGCTGCTTGCCTGTCTGAAACCAGAATGTCCCCTATTTAAAAAAAAAAAAGTAAAGCTGGGAGATCATTCCAAACCAGATTCTCTGTACCCTAACACAACGGCCCCATCACAAAGCACTACACCGCTTCAGAGGTCTTTGCGAGTTTATTTCAAATTCTAACAGGGGCAGCGGAGTGGATCTGTCAGAAGTCGTCTGCTTTCTTAGAAAATGGTATTACTTTCCGCAAGCACAGCGGCTTGCTTCAGAGCCAGAGTTTTTCCCAATCTCGCGGATAAAAGGCAGCTTAAAAACAGGCCCAGAGGTATTGAAAATGTTCGAGTCAAGGTTAGCATTCTTTAAACAAGGCTGCCATCCTGAAGCTACAAAGAGGGAGAGGAGTGCAGATTTCTGGGGATGACGTCTCTGATTTGAAAAGTTGTCCTTTAATTTCTTCTGCGGGGGCTGACGAACACAAACAAAGACTCCGCGTGTGCTTGATAGCGTGAAATTCCACAGGGGTTTATTCCCAGAGGATGCTACCACTTATTTATTTAATCTAATATTATTGGTTTTATTTGGTTTCGTATCAACTTCATTGATTTGTCTGACATTCGTAAATATGAGCAAACATGACAGAATTCCAATTTTATTCATGTGGACGCTACCAAAAGAGGAAAACCAGCACTGGGATTGCTGAGACCAACTTTGTCTCTTGCCAACTGCTCATGTTTTCTGACCATTTTTCCGTTTTGTTGCTCTTCCTACCTCATTTGGATACTTCTAACACAAAAAGTTTGAGTCACTTGGCTTATTAAATAGCATTGGTAGAGGGAAAGAATTTTTTTTAATGTAACAATGTATTATGATTACGGTTATGCATGCACAATGAACACTGCGGGCCCTCTCACTGTCTAATAGTTACTTTCTTGCTCCTGGCATTCCATCATTTTAATGTTTTTTTTCAATAATTATCTTTAGATAAATCATTCATCATTTTTGGAGTGGGTACAAGTTAGCTCTGAGAAATGACACTGCAGCCGTCATGCTGATCATGAAATAATGCACAGAAATATGGGGGGGAAAAAGAAAATTAGGATACGTTTTTTTTTTACTGTTGCAGCTGTATATCTGGTGTTATCAGGCTCCTCTTCGAGCACAGCAATTTTACATTACATTACACTATTTGACAATAATTGTACATTATAAAGGAGTTCATTGCAATGATGGCACAAATTCAAGCCAAATCTCAGTGAGTAAAGTTCAAATGGATAGGAAACCTAAGGAAACCTTTCAACATTTATTTGCAATAATTAGTCAAGCGTTGCACAAGGAAAAAACCTTGAAACACCTCATTGATATCCAGTTCTTGTTGCATTTTAGGATTCCCACTACTTTTTCTATGATGTTACATATGGCTGTTTCTGGAAGAGGAATTAATCTTGAACACTGACAAAATCAAAAGCACAGCCTTGAGAGGCTGAACAAAGTTTTGGGTGGAAACGATCACCTTAAATAGATAGAAAAGTGGACTTATTTGAAGAATATGAGCCTTTGTGAATGGATACGGACTGACTTGTAATTAGTGTGACATCGGCTGTAATCGGAAATAGAACAGTTTAGTGAAATAATAGTTCCAATCTACGTAAAGGAAGTGATCTGTTTTTGTGTCGAAGAGCAAGAAGTGGAAGACTTTTCAAAGAACGAAGATCTAAACTTTGAAAATAAAAGCGAGATCCTGTTGCGCGAGTGTAAAGATGGAGACACCTGGACGGAGGCAAAAGACAAAGTCCCTGAGCTGATTTCCTCGGGGACTCGTCCTGGCCCGTGATGCTTGTCCCCGACTCCGGGAGCGTTAAGGCGATTAAGATTACAAATTGTCAATCTAATTCCAGGGCCCGCCGTAATTGTTGGAAGACGACACGCTCCCCGCGAGCCGTAAATCTGCCTCGTCCTCCTCTGAGGGCAATAAGCGGGGGGGGAGTGAGTCCGGCGAGCGGCCTTTCCGCCCGTCCAGCAGATGAAGGGGGGTTAATCACAAAACATTAAACACATTGTCAGCACGGCGTGATTTGTCGCGGCCCAACGGGAGGTCATCAGACGAGGACGGCGTTCCCCCGTGTGGCACTGAGGAATCCAAGGTGAGGCCGGTTATGAATGCTTGAGTGACACGTCGGCAGCCGAGCTCAGACAGGTCGCGGGCCACCCCCTCCCCCCCCCTCCCTTTGCCTTTCGCCTTCTAATTATCTTCGAGAATTAAGTCTTTTTCTTGTGCATCTGCAGGCAAAAGAATTCTCACCCCTTGTCGGCACCCCTGCTCTCCCTCTGCAATTACCGATAACCGTTCACCTCCCCAATAATAGGCGAGGATGGGGATTCTCGAAGTTCACTTAACATTTAGTAATAGCATAGCTGAAGGCGGTGACAGTACCACTTAGATCGGGGCAAGATGACAGCATAAAAGCACTTAAATACAGACAAATCTGAAATTAAAACCCCCTTAAGCTACGCAGGAGACAAGCGGTGGGAGAAGGTCTGCAGTCCGTCTAGCACACAGGACCATAAACGGTCACTCTATGTTCCCGAAACTATGTCAGCGCCTCTGATGAGTGGACTGCGATTTAAATCACAGTCATCCATTTAGGCAAAACATATTAGAGTCATCCTTTCACTTTATATACCTATTTCATCCAACTGGGGGGGGTTGGCGTGCATCCCAGCTGCCACTGGGCAAGAGGTGCATCCAGTAAGGGTCACCAGTTCGTCATAGGGCCACATATGCATGCTCACATTCACATCTTCATTCAAATTAGGGTCATCATAAACTAACCAAACATGCATTTTTTTAACTGTGGGAGGAAGAAATAACAGAGCAAACCAATAGAGAACAAACCAATGGAGAACATAAAATAGTCATTGGCAGGAAAGGGCATCCAAATTCTACACAAAAGTACCCAGCCGAAATTCAAACCTGGAACCATCTTATTGTGAGGTGAAAGTGCTACCCTAAACTAATATTCCATTCACAAAAGAGCAACAAAAAAAATAACTCGAACCCCAAAATGCTGAAGAAGAAACAACACATTTTTGCTGCTAAGGTCTATTAGTAAGAGGGAAGTACTTTTGTTGATCACAAAAAGAACACCTGAGAGAAGCAAAGTCTCTTGAAACTTGAGATTGGCTGCTAGGTAATCTGCAAAAAAATTATTAATTATTAAAAAACAGAAACCGATTTTCATTCAGATCCAGAATAACTGGAGATCACAGACTACAAAGGACTGTGATCTATCACCACCGTATTAAAAACATATAAACACCCCTGCACGACCTGAGGAATATAAAGTATATGTGAACACATTTCACTCTGGCATTCTCAATTTTTCCTAAAAGCTATATATCGTGCAAAGGAAGAATCCTGGTGCGTTTATGATCTGGAACATGCCTCCTCTGGTTGCAGATGCCAATAGACTTTTATAGCTGTGGAGAGTAGCGTGACCACATTCAAACATTTTGTCTCGTGTTGCTAAAAAGAAAAGGGCTGATATTTCTTTATCAAAATGAATAACAATGACTAAAGAGTTATTTGTTTCCACTGTGTGTAAAATACCACTGAGGGATTTCAGCAAAGCGTTACACAGCGTTCCCGTGATTTGGATTTAGTTGGGGTTAAATCGTCATTATCATTAAATCATTCAATACTGCACAGTCATACGGAGACACGGTGTTTCTGGTAGCACTGAAAATGGCTGCCGAATCCCCACATCGCAGTGGCACTTCCACAGACCATTAAGCAACTAAATGAAGATCCTCTTTGTTCAGCGAGCGCCCTGCCTACACACAGCTCTGCACAGCTCTCTCCGTCTCGCTTTTTTTTTTTCCGTCTCGAGGCCCGATCGCTCACAAATCCACCGCATAAAAAAAACAAGATATCGCCAGGTTCCCCGTCTCGGCGTTTCCAGGGGGCTGTTTAGCCCAACAGCGGTCTGTAATCAGCACCTACGCAGCAGGTAATGTCAGCCGGCATCTGCGGGTAAGCTCATTCCACCAGAGCTGTTTACAGAGGGACTTACAGGGGAGGACAGCTGCAAGATAATCTTCTTCTCAAAAGATTCCCTCGCAAGTGGCGTTCACTCTGAGCGGGATTTTTTTTAAACTACGATTTTTTTGTTTTTGTTTTATCTGACAGCCTGTGACAGACGGCCAGCTGGATCTGGAGAACAAACGGAGGTTTGTCGAAGGGGCCCGAGAGGCGCTCTCGATCTCACCTCTCAGCTCTTTCTGACTCACAAAGTGAGCCGACACCAGACCTCGCCTTCCCAGTCGCAGAGTTATCTGCAACCGTCTGAGCCGGTTCCAGCTGTGCCGGAGTGAAGCGGACTGATTGCACGAGACGAAAAGCAGGGGCGCCGCGCGTTTGCTCACGCACAGCGGCAATCAGAGCGGCCATTACCGCCCGGCTTCTATTTAGGTTTCAGAGCCTCGGAGTTTGCGGAATAACCTCGGCCGTAATAGGCGGCGCCATTAGGAACACTTATACCGGGCGAAGGCAAATCTATCCGAAACCCCCCCCCCAAAACCCCGTCGATCCAGACGGAAAAGGCGGAACGCCAAAGCCCAAGTTCTGAATGGAACCATAATGACGGCGACGCGGACAAAGCCCGGCCCTCAGAAAGCCGCGCTTACGGAGTATTTAGAGGCCGAGATGATCGATGGCCTCCTCTGTCTCCCCGTTGCTGTTAGCAGAGGCAAGCTGAATCTCATCTGTCTGCCTCAGAAGCTCGGGACTGACCTTGCCTCTGCCCCCAAGTTACGCTTCCTGAAAATCAGTGCTAGAGGAGGGAGGAGGGGGGGGGGGGGGAAAAAAAAAACAGATGAGCCCCTTTTTTACAAGGACGTTTGGAGATAGATGTATTTTTAACTCCCTGCAGGCTGGAGAGGCGTGCTGGACGGGTAGGGGAGGGGCTGGTATGATATCAGGCCTGAGTGAAGACACTTTGCCCCCAAGGGGCTCCATTGCAGATGACAAGGTTACACGACTTAAAGTCAACCTTTGTTACCTCCACTTAATCACAGTCTCCCGAGTCCTCGTCCACCCCCCCCTCCCGCTGAGAAGAAAGCTCCCAGTCAAATAAGGCCGTCCCGTCTTGGGCTCCCCTCTTTTTTTAACAACCCGCGTTATCCATCCGGTTCGCTGTCTCGCATTCGTCTTCTCCCAGATTCTCGCACTCGTTTCGTCTACCTCTGAATGTAAATGCGAGAGGTGAGAGCTCCCCGTGACAAAGCGCCAAAAGTGGGAAGCGATTATCATAAGGGTGGACCTCTGATTGGGGTGTGGAATAGGAGGGATGTGAGGGGGGGGGTTGAGGGATTTATTTTTAAACCCAGTGATGACAAAAGAAGTCAGTAACTAGGCACTAGGCTCCTGCACATGGCTTCCTCTCCAGCTAGGAATAAGACTTCTTCTTTGTTTTTTTCCCCATTTTTTCCCCCCATCAGAGAAGAACATTTTTAAATTTTTAAAAAATGTTTCTAATGCAAGTGACTCTAGGATCTGTAGCAGCTGCTTTAGAGCTTCCCTTCCGGTAACTGAGATAACTGTATATACTTGCAAACTATTATCTGGAAACTTTCCACCAATAGACAGCAGACAGATAGCAGAAGACAGCGTGTGATCAATGTGACCTTGTTCGTCTGAGATCTCCCCCTTTTGTCTTTCCACGGACAGCATTTCATTGCTGAGAAGCATCTGACGTAACCCCTTGCGATAAAAGCTTGCTTTAGCTAACCCGGCCCACTAAAGCCGTCTAGCCTTGAAGCTCCACGAGCAGCTATTGACCTGCAGTGAGGGCGCCACATAAGGAGGATGGAACTAAAGGCTGAATGTAAAGTGTGAAAATGAATTATCGTCTAGCTTGACTCAAGCAAAAGCAAATGGCAAATGGCAGTGGATGGTTCTTTGGTGAAATCTAGAGCCCCCAATGGAGGCCGAGATTTTAAAACCATCATCGGTAAAAAGGTAAATCGGTCGGATTTCCAGGTTTGCCACTTTTTTTTTTGTCTTTTTACCAGTGACGGTTGCGTTCATGTCGAGACCAAATTAAGTCTGTAGGTTAGTGCATTGCAGTCCAGAAAAACTTCACTTGTTTTATTTGTTATATGATGGAGCCTTAAACCATTTTCATTCTATTTGGGACGCATTCATGTGTGTGTGTTGGTGGGTGTGTGTGTGTGTGTGTGTGTCTGTACACAGGCCTTCTAATCAGCTGCCAAAGCTATATCAAACTGGTCTGGCTTTTAAAATCTCCCTCTCTAAGGGGAAAACAAACTAAGCACATTGACAATACAATTTAGATTAGCTCTTTTTGTTTTAACACAGAATCTGAAAACTTACCAGAAAATTACATTTACAGGCAAATATAAGCAAAATGTATAAATAAGTCTGAGAACAGAACCCAGGCCTTAGAGAGTAAAAGAAAACAAAAATACTTAAATTTTGGCCAGCCTATCTTTTTTTGTGTTAAAATTCAATTAAACGTCAGTGTGAGTCGTACTTATTTAATTCCGCTCCTGAAAAAAATAAAGTTTTCCTCTCATCTCAGCCCTCGCTCGATAAAACCTTTCCTCGCCACGCAATGATCTTTATTTGTTCGGATCTACCAGCTCACAAAACTACATTAAGATCTAAATGAAAGCTCGATTGGCTGAAGCGTGGCCAGAACAATATAGGAAAGCTGTCTCAGAGAAAGTCTCAGCTCAGCTTATTGTATCTATCTCCCCCCCCCCATCTTCCATCTATAAACAGAGATCAGTCATGTGACAGGGCTCTGCTGTTGGCATGTATTTGAATGTCGAGTTAAGCCGTAAAAATGCTCATACTATGGACACTACACTTTATAAACTATTATCTTCATACTTTTATCTGCTGGTTTGAATACCTGGATTTAGGATGCCCTCTCTCCCAGCTTCCTGGCAGCCTGTCCCCTCACCTGCCTACAATTATCTTATCGGGCCGCAGTATATCAACTTGGATCTATTCTTCACTCGTCTTTGGATCATTGTCGATGCCAGCCTGGATTCCACCCCCGGGCTGATCAGTCCGTCCTGCCTGCCATCGCTCAATCTGCAGCCCGCCTGCCTCTTGCCATCAGTCTCCAACTTGGAAAGAACTATGCCGGATTTCTGGAACGCGTCGCATATTTTTTTTAAACACCCAGTTACCATTCTTCTGTGTTTTCCGTCTTTTTGGTTCCATTTTCCGTCGACACTGCGCTGTGATTAAAAGCCTGTGTAGCCCTGCTGTGGTTCCTTTCAAGAAGACACAGTCCTCATCAGAGAGACGAAAAAAAGAAACACTTGGGAAATAGCAGGATTATTTGTACAATTTCTAATAACAACTTGGTTCAGTTCAGATAAACATGTTTCCGTGCACTGGGATTTAAATTGGACACTTCTATAGCACATTACTGTGAAATTAGCAGCAAATAATTGCCATCACTCAAGAGCAGCCATTAATTAAACCATTAAGTGTATGTAAACATATCCTGCTATAAACACAGTGTCTGTTTTATCTGTCACTCGCACATTTTCTCACTCTTCTCACTTTTTGCAAGCCTTCACGCTGCTTTCATCAGCTGAAATCTATCCGTCTCCCTCTCCCTCATTCATCCTCTGCTTTCATCCTCCCGCCTGCCTCTCTTTTCTGCCCGTTTTCCCATTAAAGGATCCATTTTCCACCAGGAAGTGTCCAGAGCTGTCCATGGTACTGAACTTTTTAAAAAAGCACTGCAAAAGGTTTGTAAAAATAACCACCTTTATACTTTCTTTAGCCATTTAATAATTACTTTTCACTGTGCACAACTGGCAGAACCCAGATTATATTTAACTGATGTTCTTATTCCAAACTGGATAAATAGTTGTTCCCATCTCCCTCAAATGTGTTCCTGAAAAATACATGGGCGGAATCTTTGCACCGCCGACCACTCAGGGCAACCATGTGACAAGATATATTTTAGATTTAATTAAAAAGTGATTGATTATGCATTCAGGATGTGGCAATGCAGATGGCCAGATGGACCCAAAAGTTTTAGTCGCTTAAAACTTTGAACAAATTTGAATATTTTAATTAGGTAAAGTATTTTATTAATGTGTGCCTGGACTCCTACCATTACTGAGGCCCTAAAATGATACTAGTGTCTCAGAAAATGTTCCTGCACTGTTTATGTTTTTTCACTCTTCTTATTTGTGTTTAGTTTTTTATGAAATTATCATTATTGTTGTTGCACTTCTACACAGCAGGCACATTTGTTTGTTTTGTTTCTTGAGGCTTTTTACGGTGACAACACTTTATTCGAGTGATGTACAAATGCTTGGATGCACGGCAGTATAAAATTAGATATCCTGCCTGAATGGCTACCCACATATAAGATTCTCAGACTTTCCACTGACATAACATTGGGAAAGACACTTTCTTTTTATACTGTTGATATGAACCAGATCAGAAAAGAAGGGATCCAAGCTAAAGTTTAGATACTGTTTATTAGGGTCACTTTTGGCAAGACTGACCAGACCAGTTTCTTTCTCAAATGCCAACTTGAGCTCTGTTTGCAGTTTAAAAGGAACTTCTACAATTATTTTTCGCTAATTAAACCAATGTACTCTTTTTGTAAGACATTTTGTACCTTTGTCAATCTTTACTTCCAAGAGACTCTGCCCCTCTTAGGTTCTCTTTAAATGCCATATCATGTTACTGACGTTTTTCTAAATAACTCAGTTAGTTGCGAAATGTTAGTCCATTTATTTCATTGTGGTTTCGTGTATTTTTCCAGATTTTTGTTGTCTCTCTAACAAATTTTGAAGGATATGTCGCTACCATCAAATCTGAGACCAACTAATGTGCGTTTCATAGAATACTGAAAAGTGTAGGAAAATTGCCCGTGATTCAAAACCAAAGTGTGATTGAACTAGTGTGAGAATATGTTCCTTTCGCCATTATTCTCCAAACACTTTGGCCAAAATAAAGTTTTGTTTTGACTTTATTACACTATATGTTTCCAACATGTTGGCATATCTATTCATTATTTAACCTCCTGAAAACAAATGTTTTCCTCTTGGAGGATTGAGTTGGTATTTGGCGGTTTTCCAAGGAAGTCAATGGTCGATTGTTGGAACAAGGTTTATGGATACGGAGAACTTACCGACCTTTTTCTGTCAAAGATCACGAGCATAGCCCTAAACAACTAAAGTTAACGGAGTTGTTCTAAAAGCCCAAATGTTTTGCTTAAAAAGTTGAAAAAAACATTGCTGTTAATCTTCCACACCCTTTACAATCCCGTGTTTGACCACTGTGACACAAACTAGTGCATCGAACGTTAAAACAACAACAAAAAATGTAAAAAGCAACTTCAAATACTTACTTGTTTTTTCAAAATTTTAATGATGCTGGTAAGCAGACCCTCCTCTTTCCCGAGCTCCGGTGTAGTCACTATAAAGTCCACATCATGACCAAATGCTTTCCCCCTTGGAATAAAACATAAAACATTTACAGCACCTTTTCATTGAAGCCTAAAAAAGAATTATCTTTCAGCCACATTCTTTTAATTGGCAAGACGTAATTTGGTAGACACAGCCATTATAGCAGATTAGCTAATGGCAATTTCCTTGTCCTGAGGGAAAACTGTTCCCTTTTTGGTCCCTTAGCTCTAAAAGTTAGACGCTTTAAAACAATTCTCCATTTTGATTAAATCTGTCATAAATCCAATAGAGTCTGACAAGACTGAGAAATAATTCATCAGCACGTCTGCAGTTGTACTGACAGTGATTACTTGCTAACACTTTGTCATATACTAGATACTGTATTTCTTCTTATGAGATGTTGAACATAAATTATGGCATGGTATACAAAATAAGGTGAGTAAGATATAAATTTTCTTGACATTTTTTTGTTAATATTTCACTTTGTAATGTGCAATGATTAGGATTTTTTGGGGGGATTTTTTGTTTAATCTAACCATAATGACATAGTATACATATATACAGTATAAGGACGAAGTGTAGGTTTTGTAGATCTTTTTTTTAGGTGTTTGTCATATTTCAATAATAAAATCAGCTTGTCGATGAAACAGTCAAAATTTCAAGGATAAAACTTAAGTACAACTTCAACATTAATTAGAATTCATTTTAATAAACTTGCCATACATCCACAAAATGCCTTATGCAAATGAGCTGGTAATGTTCTACTTCGCTGAATTTCATTCACACGGTCGTGTCTGTTTATAGAAGGAGAAACCACACTGACTTTAAAGATGTGGTCACGATTCTGCAGGCTGTAAAGAGTACATGCGAGGCTATAGGCGCCTGCTGTCGCCCCCCAGACACGATGTCGCAGACCCAAGGAATTTATTAACAAGATTTCCACTCTTTACTTTAAATTCTTCACTTACTTTAAAAAACATTTCAACTCTGTTGTCAATACTGTGCCCTAATCCCTGCAATGGCCTATCGACTTTGAGAAAAACCTCTTCCATTTGCGACTTTTGAAGGGGTATTTTTCATTGGCTAACTAGCAGTTACTTGTGTCCTGCATTCGTCAAAGGTTTTGTCTTTGGAGAAATTCACATTATGCATGAAACATGCATCAGAAAAGCATGATTAAAACTATGGTGAAAGCTTGAGGCTATTTCACTTGCAAGCTTTATAGTAAATAATATATATAATGATGGCCAGCCAAGACATATTCATGGACAACCGATTCCAGAGGCTGAATTGCTTTTGGAAATTAGGTATATACGATCTGAACTGAACAACAAGACAAAATTTGGACAAATTCTAAGACTAATTTTTAACAACTGTGCAGCATTTCATGTGTCAATGGCCATTCTGGTAGCTATGGGCTCCTCGAGGAGCTCATCTTACAATCTTTTTTCTGTGTTTGAAGTGACGTGTTTTCATTTTTTTCAAGCAAAATGACAAAAAACTAAAGTGAGGAGCGCATTCATGTGATTCACATGCACTTGTCAGTGAGTGTGTGTCTGTCTGTGTAAATCCGGTGATGGATTTCGCCACCTGTCCAAGGTGTTTTCCCCGGCTGTCAGCGCCTGCCTGCAGACACCAGCGTGACTCACGGGCAGCAGTCAGACGGGGGGGATAAAAAGAGACGGCGGGGCTCCTGTTAATAGCCCTCGCAACTGCCTGATAAATACAGCCCACCGCCATTTTGAAAAAAAAAAAGGTAGACCTTTGAAGCTGGTGCACGGGACCCAGGCCCGTCTGATTCTAGGCGAGCGCACGCATGCCCAGCCGCATCATCCAGATGTGAGGGCCTGATATGGACAGGCTCCTTTCATCCAGTCTTAAAAGTCAGGTTCTGGTTAAACGGACACAAGTGTTTGAGGTCTCTTATGTAAGAGTGAAAGTTGGGTGGATTAGCTAGCTTTTCACTTCAGTGCTTTTTTTTTTTTTTTTTTTTGGGGGGGGAATTCATACCTACACAGTTCAAAAGTTCCTTTTGAACTTAACATTTGTGCTCCGTGCAGTTAAGAGTCCCCATGAATGCCAGTGCACTTCAGAGCCAACCGTTCAACAGCGAAAACACCACCAGGGCTTTATCTTTTTTTTTTTTTTACCTCGTCCTCTCTTTCATCTTGTTCCCTCTTTCTCTACCGACTAGCTTCCTCTCTTTTTTTCTTCTCTTTTTTTCTTTGATGGCTCGGCAGAGCACGCTTCCCGGGGACAGGGTTAGGGTTCAGGTTAGGGTTAGGGTTTTTACGGCCCAGAGCGCAGGACCCGGCTGTGCGCCGGGTGTGAACCAAGCCGTGCCACTCCAACTATCGCGTGAGGGCACGCGTTCAATTATTAAGAGTTGTGCACAAAGCCTATGAAATATGCACGGCTATTTACAAATTGGCGCGGACGACAAGGCGACACGTATGAATAATACAGATGTGGGAAAGTGTCGCTGACGCCGGATAAATCCGCCAACAGGAAGGAGAGCATTCCTCCACGCTTGAAAAGTGGCCGGTCGGGAGGAAGGACCAGCCTCTTTTGTTTCACCTTCTATCGTGCTTGCAGTCTAAGAAGCGAAGGGATAATCAGATTGATGTGGCTTGAAAAATCGGGGGAAATGCTCGGAGCGAATGCGGGCTATAAGTCAAGGCCAGCCAGCTTGTTTTGCCCCTCCCTACTGTTTGCCGATAAGGGAATTGCTTTTAACAATCCTGACACCCAGACCCGAAGCGATACGGCACGCTGTTGTGCGAGGGGAAACAAAGTAGTGAGGCTCAGTTTGGGGATTTGAGAGCAGACACCGCTTGCCACCCCCCCCCCACCACCCTCATCAGCGTCATTCTGAGTTATATTCCAGACAATCTGACGTTAAATAAGATCCACAGCTGGGACTTTCGGGGCTTCACACTGAAATAAATACGCTGCTCCGCTGACACCGTGTAAGCCTCAGTGGTGGCACAAGCTGTATTTTCACGTCTAATCTATTTTTAATCCCCCGGTCCCCAACAAAACTGCTTTAAGACTTGTCACCCGCCTTCCACAGCTGTCCTTTCAATAAGGCTAATGTCAGTGGCATCAACAAATCCCCCCCCCTCCCCCGCCACGCCGTTTCTCTCTGAAGTGGATGACAGCTTGAGCTAAAGAAGCACAGTGCTTATTTTGTGAAAATTTTTTGGGAGCAGCGCTATCTCTCTTTGTGTATCTCATCCCCGAGATGAAAGATTTGCCAGGGCCAGAAATATCTATTTAAAGGAGACATATAGTATCGGTCCGTTTCCATTTTTTGACAGGGGCTATCGGATATAAAGACGGAGCTAATGAGAAACTCCGCATCACGCTGGAAATTATGGGTAATTAAATCCAGCTTTGACAGGACTTTTTCTTTTTTTTAAAAAGGAAGCGCTTTCAAAAGTGTCGCGCCGAGGAGAATAAGCAGATTATTAGTGCCGTTGCTGGCATCTCGGGGAGCATTTGGAATATTTTTCGTGTTGCAGACTTCAATATCGACCCCCTGCTAGGTTTAAACTGGAGAGCCGTCTTCTCGACAAGATAAAGAATGACTTATCTACTGACTGATGCTGTACAAGTCATTGTCCTTTCATTACAGCACCGCGTGATTCCAATTAGGTCCCGTGTAATACACCCCAAGTCTTCACAGACGTGAAATAAGGTAAATGTGTGCTTCATCTCCTTCAGTCTGAATCTATAATGGCTCTCTCACAGGCCCCTTTACACTCTGCGGCAGACTCCCGGCCAATAAATCGTGAACAGTTCCTCCCCTTCATTCTTGATGTTAACTATCCATGATGCCCTAATCACTTTTCCCTTCTCCCTCACCACATTTTCCCCTAGAGGAGCTTGTTATTTACATAATCGGATATCTTCACAGCTGTCATTTATCCTTTTTTGTAGATTGGAGATATTGGATTTTTTTTTTCTGGTGATGTATGATACGATCTTTACTTGGGAGAGTTAGAAAACTTCTAACCTCAGAGATGGATTGAATATAGGCTGCGGTTCAGATGTCAAAACAAGACTATGAAACTTCTGAGTGAAGAAATAAGAAGTTGTTGCGCTTTTGCACGAGGTCAATTTGAATTCTAAAGCAGTTAAAGGATTGCGGACTGCGTAAAAACTTTTTCTGAGTAAACAGGGATGTGCAAAGTACTTATGAGCAATTACTGTCTAACATGCAACAGGCAACGGCCTCAGTTTGAAGAGCGGGAAGGTTTTCATACTGGGAAACCAATCTCTAAAACAGGTACAGAAAACTGAAGAAGTGCACGTTGCAACTCATTATTGATACAATGGCAACGGCTTAACAGCTGTGGCCATGGCTGGCTAACCCTAGCTTAGCTCACCAATCAGGGATCCCACCCAATTCTCCAAATTTGGAGTATCTTTCCTTCCGACTACTTATCATACTTCATATAACCTCACATCATGTAAACAAAACAAAGCCAGAAAGACTTAGAGATAAAGGGTGAGCAACAACATCCCTTCATGAAGTTCAGATAAAACCTGTGAAAGCCTTTTTTTAAAATCTATAATGAACCACAACATTCCCAGCTTTGGCTGATATTAACTCAAGAAAATGAGTACGTGTTTCTTTCCCTTCTGCCTACATTCTGAACTCTCCATTCACAGCTACTTTTTATTGGATATATGACATGCACTAAGCAAAAAAATGTAAAAAAAATGAAGGCAGTAACCGGTTACTTGGACTGTGTGTGCATGTGGACTTTGTAAATATCTTTTTTTATTTCTTTACTACATGGAGTCCAGCATGGTAATTCATTGCACAGTTACTTCGGACAGAAGCGAAGTATCTAGATTTGCATATTAGAACAAGCGTTATATGAATTCATATGTATTGATTAAGAGCTTATGACTCTTTTCCATTTGTGCTGTTGTTTCAGCAACTTGGTATATATGCGGTTGCTGAGCTGTTAGCATTATCAAGCTGCCCAAATCAGCTTTTGAATGAAGGAATTTGTTGAAATAACTCAGTCTTCAAATCCGTTATCCCTTTTTTGGTGAACTTATGGATCATTTATATCTCAAATGCAGAACACAGTCATTTGCACTTTGATGTGAGTGAAGCTTGTAAACTTCAAAAGCTGAGCAGATTTTTTTCGTCCTTTGTAGCAGCTGAAAGGTCACGAATTTTATTGCTTTATCTGAGAGCTATAATTTCCTTTTTTTTCCCTACAGTTTATAGAAAGTCGCAGACCGTGTTGCCATTTTGAAAAGCTGAACAATGACAAAGTGAACGACTGTCTGTCTTGTGAAAAAAAATAATAAAACGGCATGAAAATGTATAATGTAGTCGTAAATGCTGGAACATTTTTAGTTGTGGGTTATTTTCGATGGCGAACAATTTGTCCTTTTCGCGGGCCTTTCGCCAGTGGCTTTTATCTGGGCTCGCCGTGTGGGGATCGGTCGGCTGAAAGCACTCTGACTGCTGTTTACTGAAGTGACAACTAAGGAGTACACCCACCAGCTCTCAAAAAAAGAATAAGGCGTGTAGTATTCTTGTAGCAAGCTTTAACAAACGGGAATACGGGAGGAGAAGGCAGGTGACAAATGCAGAACTCTGGTTTCCTGCGAGGTCTTGTGGCCGTGGCAGCTCTGTGACCCCTGTTGAGAGGCAAGTGCCCGTCTTTACGGCCAGACTTGCTTTTGAATTATTTACCGCGCACACCACTGGCTGTGGTCGGATTTTTACAACACCACAGAGCAGAGTGCCCCTTGCTTACTCAGGCACAAAGCGCTGCTCATAATAAAAGAGAGGCTCAAAGAGGTGGCAACCGAGGGAGTTGCCAGCTCTGTGCAAATAGTTGCGCTCAGCATGTTGCTTCACAAGAGCACTCCTGCTCTCTAACAATAGCATTTGAGAGTATCAGTATTAAAGCGTTAGATTTTTTGTACATTTACTACTACATGGCGGTTTTTCTTTTAAAAAAAAAAACAAGAAAAAAAAGGGAAATGGGGTAAAAGGGTAATCAGCATCTTTAAGTGGAAACGAACAGCTTCTTTTTTATTTACCCGCACAGTCACGGTTCTGACAGTGGTTAACAGGGGAGACTTATTTGGGAACCAAATGGATCCCTGGAGACTTTTCAATTTTCCCTGTGCATAACAAATATGAAGCGATAGAAACGAAAACGCGAAAGCGCTGTTCTGTTTAATCTGCAGCGGCGAGAGGAGGAGACAAGGCTTGTACCTGCGAAAGCCTCCTGTCAGAGCCACTACGCCATCCGGTGTGATCGCATGGACAGCTTCGTCAATAATGCTCCCCAGGGCCTGGGCCTCTGCTTTACTGACAGCCTTGGAGATGTCTCCATAATGCAGAAAACCTGCAGGGAAAAGAAGCGCGTAGTTATTAGTCTGGTAGCCAGCCATCAATCATAGCCACTTGCTCTGGGGAAGCGGGGAGCCAGGGCGAATTAAAAGTAAGGTAAAAAAAAAAGTGCGATATGTTCTGCCGGCTGACAGAAAGCGACTGCCAATGTGCTTCGCCTGCAGACATAAGAGGATAAAAGCCTCCAGAAACTGCGCTTGATTAGAATTGATTCATTGATGAATATCTGGCTTCGTGCGTCTCACTTTTGAGACGCATGAAAAGCAGTCATTCTTTGACACGCTCCTTTGACAGGCACCTACATTTAATTATAAAACGCTTAATTACAATTCCCGTCCGTGCATCTGCGAATTAAAGGGACTGGTCTTGTTCTTTGGTTCAAACGTGTTCTCCGCGTCCAAAACGGGCTTTAGTTGTCTGCTTTGGAGCTGAGGCTGCACACCCGCAAATGATGGATTACAAGCGGTTTGATGGACATGTGTCAGCGTAATAAAGTGCTGAACGGAGACTGAAATTGAGTGGTGACCTGTGAACGGTCCGATAAAAAGGTCCCTATTGACCACCTCAAGCAGCATGTGCGTGACCACTGCCCACTGCAGGTGAGACGCTAACAGCAAACTTTGAAGAAGCCAAACTATTTCTAAAAGTAAACCGTTAACTTCTCGTCATCTAGGCTGAAAAAACATGCTGAGTCATAGCCAAAGGTATTCACTTACAGCCATGGTTGCATCTCTACCAACTGAAGAAAATAGGATCTAGGACCGATCTCCAAGATGTGTCCAAATGCTTTGGTCTTTCTTACCTTTTCCTTCTTACTTTTAATCGTATGATCTAACAAACCTAAACTAAAGGAAGGAAGAATCCCAAATGGAAAAAAGAGCCCCCAAAAATCTTTATTCAACACCTCGGTCTTAAATAGCACCAAAACTCTCCGTCTCAGAAAGGGGCCCTTGCTTTGTCCACCGATTAATGAGTACTCTAAGGAATACTGCAGCAACGGCCCCTTAAAGCTACGGCTCATTGATTGTTTTTTTCTTCAGTTACAACAACTCCTCAGTCCTCCCTCACATCATTCAAAGTCAACACAAAGTAGATCAAGCCAAGCAGGAGGAGTTATATTTAAACATGAGTACATTCGACGATCAGCTCTTTCATTCTCCCTTAGAGGCACAGACGTGTTGAAACCCCCACTCTAGAGTGCGTGAAGTGGCTGAGTGAAGATGGGGGGGAGATGTTGGCGTACCACTCTGCTGCATCCGGTTCAGCTGAATGCCGGGCTCTGCCAGAACCTCGCTGAACGAGCTCATCCCCCGGCGGTACCACTTCTCCGCCGTCTTGGGTCCAACCCCAAACACACTCGTGAACAGCTGGCAGGAAACGGGGGAAAGGACGCAATCAAGAAGGCGCGCTCCGAAATGACAGGCTCTCCTCAGAAGAGGCTGGCGTTCGGAGATTCAAAAGAGCTTAAGAGGTTGCAAATCTAAATGCTTTTCCTTAGTCGTCTCGGAGCTCCACGAGACCGAGAAAACAAAATGAATGACTGGGTAGTCTCTCTTCCACTGACCTTGAGTGTTCGGTACCTTTCATCAGAGAGGATTTTCTCGACTTCAAACGAGCGGCCGCTTTGAAGGATCTCCTGCAAGACATAAAAAGACGATGATTTCGGCGAGGGAAGAGCGCTATCTGGGTCTTCATCGGCACGCCGTACCAGGTTTCTGTTCCATCTGTTATCTCCAAACGGCACCAAAACCGTTGCTCGTTTGAAAAAACGTCTACGTTTTTTAAATCAGGTTGCCTCCGTTCCATTTGGTTTCCGGAGATAACGACTTTGTTGTTGCGAAGCCGGAGATTAACGCCGGTTTAATGGCGATCATAAAGAGCCTAAGGTATTGTTTTCCTCAGATTGTACCGTTCGCTCCGCATTTAATTGCCCGCGCGGAGCCCCGACCGACGCCCTCGTCACTTTTTAACTGCCGTAATTAGGAGGAGCTGCAAAATAAGGCCGCAGCCACCCGCTTGACGGCGGCGGCAGGCCTCAACGGGGGGATATCGCGAAAGTAAAGGACGCTAGAGTGGACGGGGGTGTTTTACAATAGGTTTTTTGGAGCTGCAGCGCTAAGGAAAATAAAAAAAAGCCAGCCCAGATTAACCGCTGATCCCGAGTTTGAGAGTGTGAGCACAGAGCAGGCTGAAGCAGTCCTCAGTGCTCAGCCGTGCATCCACCCGTCCACCTCTGCTTTCTGACCCTCCGGCCAGGGCTGACCTCCAACACAGGGATCACGCTACGCCGCCAGCACACACACAAACACACACACACTTACACCCAAAACACAGACTGACTATCCATCCCCGACTCTGCCTCAGTGCTCCCGCGCTTTCGTGTTAGCTCTTCCTCTCTTTGGGTGTTCGGTCGGCGGTGAGCGGTTCGGGCGGCTGCTGTTCACGGGCGCGTCGTGCGTTTTGTTTTGCGTCCGATCCGTTTAGTTTTTGGGTGTTTTTTTTATCATGTCATTTTCTTTATTTTTGAGCGGCATACCATTAAAAATAGACAGCCCCGGTGTCTGGATCACAGACAAACTCCGGGTGGGAGGGGGGGGGGCAGGTCACTTTCAGACAGCCTAATTCAGTCTCCCAGGGACATTCGCGTTGCTTTGTTCAATGAACGTGACCCAGCGGTGGCAGGTTTGACAGCTTTCGGAGTGCGTCGGGTAGGTGGAATGCATCAGGAAGCCTTGCAGAGCTCACCGTCTTTTCCCGCCGGATTTCGCCGTTCTCTAACATTTTTCAGCTCTTTGTCTGACGAGCTGCGATGATTTTTTTGGGGACAATAAGTTTGTCTTGCGCCTGTCACTGCGTATCAACTTTTAAAAAATACAGCTGTTTCGCTTTACATTCCAAACTTGTAAGATATATTGTGCAGTCTACAGCATCCATTTAGTCCATTTAATCCGGATTATGCCACCTAAAACTGTTTTTTTTCTTGTGTAACACATTTATATAGTATAGTATGTGGCTCCCTGCTGTGCCTCCCAGGATGACGATGCCTTTCTATTGAGTTTTTATTTCATGGGTTTGCGGTTACCAGTGTGTTTTTATTCCATCTTTTCACATGAACTTGCAATAAATGTGCTTAATCCGTGACTATTGTTTTTCTGTAATTCTTTTCAAATATCTGGAACAATGGGTTTTTTTGCAATTTTAATAATTTCTCTGGGAACGTCCCTCTCTGGGCGAGCAAGAGCAGAGATCAGTTGCAGGTTCAATCACTGCAGTAGATGTTGATCTTTTGAAATTGTAGCAAAACTCAAGAGGTTATTCTATAGTGAGCCAAGGTGAAAAGGATTTATCTGAGAAAGCCACGAATATCAAAACCTGCGGATAAGATTTTCAATGCGTTTCGAGTTGCTATATCGCTGAGAGGGCTCGGCTGTTTGATCGGGATCGATACAATTCTTCAACGTCGATGGATTCTCATTTAGCATAGTACAAACCTCAACAAAAAAAGAAAAAAAAATCAGAGAAGATTGAGCTTCTCCCAACCGAAACTATTGATTATGTATCAAACACAGTGCAAAGGAGACTGAAATGGGGCGCTGTGTTCTGTAAATGCTCCAAAGTTCCATCATTAAATCAAAACAATAAGGCTTTTACCTGACACATTAACCAAATCCCCAATAAACTGCTGTCATTTAAATATTCATCCTGTTTGTGTCCCAATTCACCGCAATAAAAATCAGGTCAGAAATTGTGTCTGAAAAATATGCTCATTAGGACTTGCTGTCAGATTGTGGTCACTTAAAGCACATCTAGACTGTCACTCTGCTTGGACACAATCCTTATTTGCTGCATATGACAAAGACAATATTCACCTCACTTGACTCTGTGCTGTAAAGATGACTTAATTACAATAATGTACAATGATCTGCTCCCATAGAAAGTTAAAAACACTATAGGCTAGGACTGGTTGACAACCTGCATTGTTGAAGAAAAGCACATGAAAAGGGCTTTTTCGCTTCTAACTTGCATTCAGGCGACACACGTTTCAGCTGTAGCATGTTGGTGTGATTTGGGTTAAAAACGTGTCCATTCAAGCTGTAGAATTCTCTTAGTTGTGTCGTTGCTGTTGATTGTCCTTTAACCATCACAGGAAAACACAGTAGACAATGGCTTTTGGATGGAGAAAAGCTGTTTTTAATGTCCATATTCCTTTTTTTAGAAGGATTTTCAAGGCATGCGGACAACCACAGAATCACATTTTAAAACCCCTTTGACATTATCTCAAATTGCAAATTTCCCTAAATGCTCTGGGGCTAAATTGTTGCTTTTCCCAAGAGAAAAACCTTATAACAATTTTAACATAAAAGAATGGCTAAAAAAGCATACCCTTCAGGCAAACTTGACACGAGAGGGCCATTTGCGCTATTGTACTGAAATTGGATTAAAATCAGTGAACAGTAGCACACTTTTGTCCTTTAGCTGACAAGCACCTGATTCCCTTTGAATGCAGTTCAAGTCTCTCACAGAAACAATCACGATCACTGCACGCATCTCGGCTTTGATTTTTGGATTTAACCCTTACAGAATGGGATTACTTTTGTTAACTATTTTAAAAACATATTTTACATTATGAATTACAGATCACATGTTAGCAGACTGACTGAAAAACTCTATGTGATCTTCAGTTTATGTTTCAACTTCATTGTTGCAGTTTATCTATAGAAAAAGAATCACCATCAGTTTTGAATGAAGGATAAAGCTAGTTCACAGTTCACAGTATAAAGTAATGATATTTTAAAAACACCGACAGTACAGATTCCCAAAACTAGCTTGAGGCTGAGGCATAGCCTTCCCACACATTGGAGGAAGGTAGGAAGCAGGAAGCCACACCATCGCCAAGAGATGAAATTGTAGCCAGTGAGCTGCAATTAGAGCCGAGACAAATCAGGCCTGCATGTTAATTTAGTAAAAAAGACATACCTTTAGGAGGGTGAAGAGGCTTGCCAGGAGTCTGGCCCAAATGCCCCGGCCAATACACAACTTGCTACAAGCCACAGGGTAAGAGCGGCTAAATGCCCACACACACAGACCAAAACGGCGTTCTCAGTTTCAAAGGATGCAGAAAAACCTCGTCTTACAGTGGATTTCTTGTGTTCTTCAAGTTATGGCATTTAGGGTCCTATAAGACTATAAAAACAAGTGATTCCTCCAACCACAAGGTAACTGTTAAAACCTTCATATGCAGCACTTTCTGTACAAGCCCCGTTGGAAGAAGATAATTATGCTGTCTTACTATTTTTTTTGCTGACGTCAGTCATAAGCCAAGAAGGAGCTGCCAGCAATCTTGCAGAAAAGCATACTCAATCCATCTACTTTTACTTTTGCCCTTTGATAGTTTCCATTTTTCAAGCCTGTGGGTGAGAGTTTTATTCCGCTTCGTACTGATTTGATAGGGGCAGGTGAGTTCACAATGAGCTGAATATCAATCTACCGATTCCACGTATCACATTGATACTTAGTGATCATTTCCGGTGTCTGACCTGTTGCGGTCAGTGTGTGCGGGTCCCCAGTGAAGGTTAATGTGTTCTCTCCAGTGTAACGTATTCACATCAGTTCCAAGCTAAGAACAGCATAGTTTTAAAAAAAAACTTAAAAGAAAAATCAATACTCAGACCCAGATGACTTTGCATTAGACAAGGGTCTCAATGCAGATCAAGAGCTTTCTTACAGCACCGGTTGGCAGTTTTTAAACCCAATGTGAAAATGGATTTAGGTGTCAAAAGGTCTCTCGGATCCTGCTCGATAAAAGAAAAAATCTGTTTTTCAGGATCCGAGGAAGCAGTAGACAAGTCATTTCATGGCGATATACAACAGCGTTTAGATAATAACTACCGTTTTTCTCTTCACAACAAACAATAAGCTTCCCTCACTCAGTGTATCTTTTTCTATTTCTCCTGGAATTATAAAGCTAAATCCTAGGAGAGTGCTCATTTTCTGCTGTCAAAAACGGAATTTTGCTTTTGCACGAGCCGTTTAGGACGCACTAACTCACAAATATGCAGCGACAAATGAATCTTTGGAGTGCTTGGACAGTAAACAGCATCGTGACGATTCTGCTCAGCTGCTTTATGGTAGTGGTTGATTGTTTTTCCAGATGCTCATTAATGATCTAAAAGGCACGCATGATGAACCCTGATGCCAGCCACACGATTATAAAAGAGGGGGTATGAAGTAACTGTTTTTTTTCCTTTACTCATTCAGCATGGCTCAACTTTACTCTTTTGTCTTGTTTTGCATTTCCATCAGAGACTAATTGATCAAAGGGTCAAAAACGTCCAAGGTCCAGCCACTGTTGCCTCTGGCTTATTTCGCATGCAAATGTTGCCGTCACGACCATTTGAAGATGCATATCCGATGGAGTACAGTTTCAAATGGCAGCCAGAAATCCTTATTATTCAGCTAAAACATGTAATATATCCATCTCACAGCATTGCCAAAAATAACTATTTGGGTGACCGTCCCGCATTCAAACCTTTAAATACAGCAGGTTCTTAGACAAATTTCAGTATGTGAAGACCTGAGAATGAAAACCGGTTCCTTGTTTTTGCTCTGTAATCCCATAAGCTTTATTTAGCATCAGTGCAGACAAATATCTCGTGTTTCTCTTCACTGGAAGTCCCTGGATCAATTTTCAACCTCGACCCAGGCAAGGATTTTACATGAATCCACGACAGCATGAAAATGCGGTCTGACGGAGCTGGAATGTAATGAGAGTTGGCGGGAGGGCTAATCAATCACAATAAAAACCACTGCATCATTTATTCACAGCGCTTTTTTTAGAAAATCTCACCCGGAGCAGAAACAGTGAACAAAGAATTGGGTTGGATGCAGATGTGTTCATGCAACATGGTCAAAACAGAGGGTCCAGGCCCATTGCTGGGCTCTCTCTCTGGGCCTTACCTCCATGACGGCCTTGGTGTGTTCACCCAGGCAGGGCAGCTGCTCTGTTGCCCCGAGACAGCGCACCATGTCGGGCAAACTCTTCAGAACAGACGCCGCCCTCCTGAACGCCAGGCACCGACCCTCGATCTCGTTGAATTCGTAGTTTTCCGCCAGCACCTCAAACGCATCCTACAGGGGGGTGGGGGAGGACATGCCAGCAGGTGAAGGCGTATGGATGGATACAGTTTTTTTTCCCCTTCAATATGATAAGTTAAGTTTATTTATAGAACCGAAAACCATTTGAAATGTCAAAACAGAAAAAAAAAAAGGAAAAACAGGTCAAAGTGTGGTGAGGCAAAACTGGGTCAAATGTGCATTCACATGGGGGATTCACTGACCCGTAGAGGGACACCAGACTGAGAGGGGAGCTCCTCTTACTTCCCCTCCTCTGGCCTGTCTCCCATCTCCGCTCCTGTCCCCGGCGCTGTCCCCCTGCACGTGATTTTTTTTGCTTCTTTCTTTTCCTCTGACTGACCTGACATTAAGGGCCGGGCGCGCCCAGACCAGATCCGGTCATTTTCCACTTCTCCCCCCGGAGACGGCAGCCGTGGACTTTTCCATTTTCAAACACAGCACCTGGTTTTTTTTGCTCAAAATGGCTGCAGCCAGGATAAGATTTTGATTTAGGCCACTGTGCCCTCAGTTCTTTAGGGAGGTTTTAGGGTCTTTCAGACGGACATTTTTTTGTTTAATGGCAAACAACTTTGCTATCGTAGTTTTCCGACACACAAGTATTTCCTATTAGATATTCAAGTTTTCATATCAGTTTTATCATTACGTTAGCTAACGACTAATTGCCTGATACCTAAACCAACCTCTTTGGCTTTCCAGATGTATGTTTTCCAAATGGATTTACACACATCTGTCCATGCAAAGGTAATCCAAACATCTGTTTTCGCCTGTGAATGGAGTGGGGTTTTGTGTGTGTGTGTGTGTGTGTGGTTCTAAACTAAACTGATGTCAACAGATCTTGTTAGTTTTAAATACCCGATAAATATTGGTCACTGCCTCTCAGTTAACACAACACACCGTATGCTCACAGGCTGAATGTGGTCAATGTCCTAAAACGGCTGATGCAATGTCCATCCTATGAGTCTCTTTATGTCTGCCTCTGACCATGTTCTCACAAGTAGTCAAAACGTAATGTGTTTCATTTATATCTTAATTTACCTCTAAACATAAGTTGTTTTTTTATACCAAACGTGCACACTTTAACCGAAAAAGATGTTTTAAAAGAAGTCTCAAATTCCTTTATATTTGATTGGATTTGGTTGCATCGGATTCAAACTTTTTTGCACTCTTGCCTCTTAGTAAAGGTGTGCAGTACCCATGTGACACTGATAAAGGGACCAACCATTACCGTTTTTGACCATCTGTGTCAGTCTACGTTGTCAAAAAACAAAAAGGTGCGTTCCCATTTGAGAGCCATAGCATGATTAACAAAGCAGAAAATGTAGCATTATAAAGATTTTTTTGGACCCGCTCCGCTGCATTTTTCTGGTGTGAGACTGCATTGATGAACAACTTTTGCAATCAAATGCAACTACCCTATTATTAACAATCGAAGACATTAAAGAGCCATTAGAGTTCCATTTTGCATTCAGTGGGGTTCAATTAAACCTTGTCAGGGATTTACATTCATGCAATGGTTGTGTATGATTGAGCTATGAGTTGCTTATAAGAATAGTTCTCAAATGGAGAATTAAGAAGACCATAAACAAACTGCCAATCAACAGGAGCTGCAGTTATCTCATAGCTCAGGACTTTATTAAATCCTTATTACATTCTTTTTTTCTCTCTATTTACACTGTTCCTCCTTCATATAATTCAGCCATGTGTGGAAAAAGGACAAGAGACACAGGATAATCCTGTTTCTCTCCATTATCGTTCTACATAATTCATATTCAAAGTTTGAAAAACTTTCTTTGGAAAAAAAAAAAAAAGGCTTAATAGAATGCGACAAAAAAAAAAAGGCCATTATGAAATGTCAGAGTAGTATTGTCTATTAACTGAGTTGAGCTGGACCGCCACACGGTTCGTGCTGCCGCTGGAGTGATGAGCTGCTGTTGCAGAACCGAGTGAATGGAGACCTGTCGCCATAAGAGAGGCGGATCATCATCACCGCAGCCGTTCATTACCGAAACAAGCGTTTCTGTCTGATGCATCGGGACGAAATGTCTGTCGAGCGGATCTGCGCGCCAAAAAAACAAACCAGCTGTGGGATGTAATATAACCTCTGATAGACGGGCAATCTCGGGGAAAAAAAAAGTCAACTCCTTCAAGCTGAACTGAGATGGCTGTCTAAAACACAGTTGTTCCTATACGACCACCAGCTTCAACTGAATCCATGGAGATTTTGGCAAGAGATTTAGATATGTATGTTATTTACTAGGACTACACTTACAAGTTACCCACAAAACAGAGGAAGAAAACAAATGTAGGAACAGTTATAATTGGCCTTAATGTTTTTCAGTTTTCACATTTGACTCCTTTAAAATAGTGTTGGGTTGAATGTTTTCATACCAGTAGCCTAAAGCACTTTCCGATATGTGCTCCTAAATGGCAATCATTTGATAATTGCATTGTCTTTTTTTTATTCTTTTTTTAGTTGATGCAGGTGTATTCTGTTGCCACCGACATAAATTCTTTCATTTTCAAGAGTTGTATTGCTAGCTTCAGAGGAGGAATTGCCCTGCTCTTTTTACGACCCCCCGTTATTGCTAATCCTCGTCCTTTATTCCGCTGCCGGACATTTTTATGTAATCCCACCACTGGGTGTTTTCTTCTTTTCTTTTTTTCAAAGCCTAATAGCGACAACTTCATAGCTTTGAAAAGCTGCATGACTGAGAGAGGGAATAAAATCACTGTCAACGCCAACATTATCCAAATTAAATCTAAATGTGTTTGTCCTTTCTGTGATATTCTGTTTCACTTTTTTTTTTCTTCGCTCCAAATGACACCAGAGGGCCGGTTTGTCTGGCCATCATGAATAAATGCACTCGTCGTTTATGATAGCAGAGGAAAGCAGCAAAAGGAAACAGGTTACACCGGTCGTACCTGAACATTTCTCTTACAACATGTGGACCTTTTAAATGACTTTTTTTTACAGGCTGCCTGATCCAGCTTCAGGCAGAAGGAAGGAGTAGCTTTATGTGTGGAGGTGAAGTTATATGGAGCCAATTTTACAAAGAACAATACGCGTAAGAGAAACCTCGATAGGGAAAGCAAGCAGCAGATAAAGTCCTTCAGCATTGTATCATCTACAGAAGCCGCTGTGTCTGTAATCATTCAGTAAAACTAGGTAAGCAAATGTGTGCAAGCTTTAGCTATTTGTTGCAACCAAAACATTCATTTAAAAAAGAGTTTAAAAAAAAAACAAGTGATTTCCCTCACAATCACTTGTGGAAAAGCACTTCTTAACCTGTCAACGTCCCGCTCAACTATTTGGTAGAACACATTTTTCACTGACCATTTATTTAAACTAGCTGTAAAATCTGTGGAAAAAAAGCATTGACTCTGGTTGTTCCGAAGAAATTAAAAAAGAAAGTGCAAAGAAATCTTTTCCCATCCCCTTTTTACAAAGCGTAGATGTCAAATGGTTAAAAAGAGACTGAAGCAATCGTGACATCTTTTTTTTTTTTTTTTAAGTTTTGAAATGAGTCAAACGACGACAGAACACCGCCAGTCCCGTTCAATCATCTGACGTGAACGCAGCGAGTCTGCTGGCCGCCATGTTGCTCCCCAGGCTGGAGGATCCAACCCCCGGGGCCTGCGACCCTGTAATTGATGAGCGGTTAGGGGCGGGCGTGCGATAGCTCGGTGTGCGGGGACGTTGATGTAGCGTGGCGATTTACCCCCCGCCACCAGAAAAAACAGGGACATGCCTGGGAGCCATGTTGGCACAGCAGCCCGCCTCACCACATGCGCAAAAAGGAGCCAAATAAGGAGTTTTTTAAAAAAAAAACAACCTCTTAGACTAGTTTTAACACGGTTAACATCCAAGAGAATGAGTTGAATGAATGACCAGTGTTCATGATTCTGGAATCTTTGCCTCCTGTTATGATGAAAAGGAGTTAACCCCGCCCCTACAAACACCAACAAAGTAAAGTTTTAAGGGAAACGGGTCAGAAATGGACTCAAACACTAAAAAAAAACATTTACAGGATGCTTTTTCTGAGCTATGACCTTTATAGCGTACAGGAAGGAATCAGTCAGAGTGTCGGGGGCCCCTCCAAACATCTGCTCATCCATGACATTTCTTTGGAGAATTCAAAGTTGGGGGGTGGGGGGGGGGGGGCACTTGTACTCTCGTTTGTATTGTATCTCAGCTTATGCACAACTAGAGAAAAGGCATGCCGTGCTAAGCATCAGTCAGATCCAGACACAAACATCAATATTTGTCTTTTCTGGACGTCGGGCTCGTGGTGAAATTATGACGGCAGCCGACTCGAGGCTACGCATACACACACACACACGCACACACACAAAAAAAGAGTGGGTATTAGATCGACTTGTGTGTGTAAATGCGATGTGAATTTCCCCCGGTCGCGGGTCGAGGTGGTGTTAGACACGGGAAAAGGGCAGGCAGGAATGATGCGGGTGTGAAAGAGAGGCAGAGGGATAAAGACAGAGCAGGGATGAATAAATCAATAATGCATGCGCGTGGAATGAAAGGCCGCTCGCTGCCAGCGTGTGATTGACACCTCGCCGGGGTGCTGTTGCTGGGATGAAGCTCATCCTCTCTTCCTGATACCGCAATACCCCCGCCCACTCCTCGCTTCTGCTCCGAGAGATCCCGCTAAACCCCTCAGTCCTAAAGTCCCTGTCAGAGGTGGTCCTCGTCCCACGTTTCCTTTCACCTGTTTAATGACTGCAAGCACAAACTGAAACATTTAGGCTTTGAGTGTCTCAGTAACTGTGTCGAAATGATGTAAAACGTAGAACGTACCTTTTTCTTCCCTCAGACATTTCATTAATGACACCCCTTTATGCTCAGTAATGAGTATTTTGTGCAGTATTTGATGACTCAGCGTTAGAATAACATTGATCCCACATAAGCGGACATCGGAAGTTACGGGTCACTTTTATTTTTCTGTCCACGTTCCTGGGCAAATTGGATCAGCGTTCACCAATTGGAAGGGGTTTCACAAACAACTTGGGGAAGGGAGGGGAGGGGCAGGGGGGCCAAATGGTGAACCATTCCAGAGTTCATCCGCACAGGGAAAAACTCCGTCCAATTAGGGATTCACTGACTGTGGCTCAGTTGAAGTGTGAAGCGGATCAATCTTCATTCAAAAACAAACCAACAAATAAAAATAAAAAAGAGCCGAATAGAAGAATGCACAGGCTTGTTGTAAACACAGGAGATGGCAGTCATCCACACTGAGAGCTCACGTACAATTGTCCCGTATACGTGGGAGGTTTTCGGCAAAGATGACCGAGAAGGTTGCATGCGCACAGGCATCAGATTCCAAAGCGGTTTCAGGCACAGATCTACTTCTCCCTCACACTGTATAAAACATCTACTGACAGTCGGTTGAAATGGGAAGAAAATACACATCCGTTCATCTTCCAAAGAGGGTAAAATGCCCAGTAAGGAGAACGTCCCCCCCCTAGTAACTTCATCCCATCCTGCATTTGGAGGCATTATCGTCAAAAGGGAGCGAAGTGCTGATGAAAATGTTTTATAATGGCCTCATTGGGATGAAGTAACGGATGAGATCAGAGCTGGCGTCTGCGAGACAGGGACAGCCAAAGAGACGCTATTAGCGCCCCTAATAGGGTCCTCCTCAGCGTTTATTGACCGCTCCATGGCTGAGATACAGCTTCTGCTTATGTTGTTGCCTTTTGGCACTCTTGCCCTCCCCCACCCCCCAAAACCCAGCAGGGGAGTTGTTCCTTCCTGTATCGACCAGGGGGCGGAAAAAAAAATGGCAGAAAATTGAATTGAACTGATCTATTTTGTCCATGAGGCACTTTGAGTTGGAGTTGGACTCATCAGGACAAGTGGAGGCATCGAGGTCCACCACGACCAGGAACACAGCGTTCCCGTGAAGTCATACATATGCCCAAAGTTAACAAGCAAGATGTGACCCAGGAAGCGCGTTTATTAATCATGCCTCGTGGCCTTTTCACATATTTCCGTCAGATTTGTCGTGGCAATACCTCCCTTCTCTCACTCAATTCCTTCATTTTGGGATATTTTTTTTTCTTTTTGACAGAGTGATTCATGCTCTGTGGAAAATGGAGTTTTAATAAAGGCGTCTAAAAATAAAGGGGGAAAAAAAAAAGTTAGATAGATGAACAGCAGCGCAACAATAAATAATGATAATTACGCTGAATCTTGGACGGCAGCACGATTTTTCTTCTCTGTGATCAAACCGAATGAGTCGCACAAGCCCAGTATGCTGGGCTTTTGCTCATTTTGTACATGGAATGTCTTGTTTTTTTTCTCCCGAAATGTTAAGTTCTGTAAGAAAGAGTCAGAACAATTGTTTTTTCTGTTTGTTTTTTTCTTCTTTTATTTTCTTGCTGACACACGACGGGAAAAATTCCCTGTTAACTTTTTGACCTGATTCTGTTTCCTATCAAACACGCATTCTAAAACAAGGGAGATTATCATCATTCTAAGAATCGGCCTCAGCTTTCTAATTTGCAGTTTTGCGAAGTCTCAGACATGAAACATATCCTCAAGGGGGCTCTCTGGTATCAAACTCCTTTCATCTGAAATCATGTTCCCTATCTGCTGATCAACACGGTTTGGCTTCTGAAGCTTCTGGGTTTATCTCTAAATGAGTGTTTTATCTAAAATAACTGTAAGCAGAACTCGGCAGTCAGATTTTTCTCCGTTTCGTTCTTTTTTTCTTTTTCTTTTCTTTTTTGGACACAAGCTCATATTGTTGTGGTTGCTAGGTGACAAGCCAAGGCAGCAGTTGATGTACCAAAAACAAACTAAAGAGCCTTTCTAGGCTTTGTCCCAAAAAATAAAGAAAAAAGGGTCACAGATATATTCACTGTATCATTTCAAGGGTGTTTTTCTGCTGCATTTAATTGTGAGGCTGCGTCTCAACGACCGTTTTGAAAGACATAGTTGTAGTTACTCTTTTCAGATTTTACCACAGTGATGCCACCTGACACTTTCCCGGCTAATGAGTGAGAACGAGCTCAACACCCACAAAGGAGCGTCAGAAATCCATATCAGGCCCGGCTTTTAGGTGACTGACAGCACTGGATGGGTAAAAAAAAGAAATGTTTAAAAGCCCCCAGCAAACGTCAATAAAAGAGGAGGGGTTCTCTATATTCTCCGTTCTCAGAAGCACGTGACGCACGGGCTCTGGTGAGGATCTGTTTGCATAGATAACTTCGGGTGTTCGGTTACGATATGCCACGAGATGACAGCGGCAAAAAAAAATCCATCCACTTAAATCTGCTTGCTACATCAGAGGGAAGTGCAAACACGCACTGTGTACCGGCTGAAAGGCGATGAGACAGATGAACTCCCGGCTCTTCATCAGACGTGCATTCACGGGGATTACATCATCACAATCTCCTGCAATCAGGCAGACAGCAGGACCCCCCAATAAAGGACGGGCCCTATACCACTATGGATCAGTTGCTTGCTCCTCATTAGGGCCGCCACACTACAGTATCATATACCACCGCCGTTAGTTTTCTACTCTGGGACTTGGTTTACAGTCAGAAGGCGATGCAACACATTTTCTATTTCTGGCTGACACGGATAGCTCGAGTAATTGCTTTTTTTTTTTTTTCCTTGTTCTGTCCCAGTAAAGTGTTTTACTTGTTTTGTTTAGTTTGTTTTGTTTTTTTTGCTCAGTTCCGCAGCCGGAACGGAACAGCCTTTTTTTTTGGTCTGATGGTGGGGGAAAAAAAAGTCTCTCCCCGTGTATCTTAACGCAGAGATAATGAGTTAATCACGGGGATAGAGATGCTAAGCGGGGCTGCTAATTAAGGAGTTAATGCCGCGGAAAGAAAGCAGGGATAAGAAAGCCAACGGCAGCTTCCTCCAGCTGAGAGTTGAGCTACAGAGAGGCATCTGTACCTGCCCGTCCGTGTGGGCAAATATTCACCCGCATGCCTGCATCTATTAGGAGCATTTAATGTCACCGGGAAGTAAAGACTCATTACCAAACAGATGCCTCACAGGGCCCTTGTAAGCTGTGCTTAATAGGTTTTAGGAAGACTCATCAGCAGGTCCTCACACTCCCACGCGCCAACACACACAGGTCTGCTGTCAGTTCACACTTACACTGCTCCTCTCATCCTTCAAAATTCACATTCGATGTAACATAAACAACTTAAGGCTGAGTTTTCCAGAGCAGGACCCATAAAGTCCACTTCAGGGGAAGCTATTGTGGCATATTCTCCGAGTTTCTTCGTGTAGAAGTAGTGTGAGAGACTATTCAGGTGAAGAATCAACCAGATATTTAGGTTGATGGGTTTCATCTGTCAGATGGTTGTTTCCAGCAGTACCCTTCACCTCAGGTCTTAAATGGGATTCTGCATCTTTTAACTGAATCACGTCAACATATGGCTTCGCGTTTGCACGATTGAGTTTTAACCTGAATTTGGGCTTGGCGCGATGCGTTGTTTTCACAGACAACGTTTTCTGGAAGGGTTCCCTGAGCGCTCGGTGTAATTTCCATGACAGAATCGCGTCTGGTTTTAGCAGGGAGCCACCTGCGCGTTGCACCATCAGTGGCATCCTGTCGTGATTTTCATCCGTGCTTCTTACATAGGAAATGTGGTGGGATTTTTTAAAACCTTTTTTATTGTCTATATCAATGTATGCACTTTGGATCGTGGAAATGTTAACAGGTGAAATTGTGAAATTATAGCACAACTTGAAGACAGTCTTTTACAGATTATCTAAACCTTCATCAATTTTCACTTCTGAGAGACTTTCTTCTCTGAGGGGCTCTTCTTTATACAAAATCAAGCCATTAATCTGTTTCTAATAAACCCATGTCCCCATTATGTTCTTCTGGATGTTGACATTTGTAGACATTTTCTAAGTGGTCAAATCTAACGTATGATGTTTCTCATATTCCTTTTAGCCAGTGGTTTATGACATTTGCAAATATTTGCATTCTGTCTTTTGTTTCTATTTTATGACATGCATTATGTTAATCGTGCTGTAGACGTTGTAAAGAAACCACTACCAAGCCACTGGGATTTATTCTTGACTTGACTTTTGTATCAACTACACGTTGCCCTCGACTCGTTCCTGTTTTCTGACCAATATGATCGCATCGTCATCCTCCTGTTTCTTACACGCTGATCCAACACAACAAGTCAATTACCAGTTCCGCCATTCACCGGGAGGAAACCTGAGGGGGCCGCTTCCCTCAGAAGCCGACACCTCGCTCCGCTTCCTCCCCTCTCTGCCCACCAGATGGCACGGAGACAGATCCATCATTGCTCGAGCGAGGTGTCACATCCGTCGCCATGCCACGGTCGGCTGTTGTGCCCCCAGAGCGGCCGCGGCTACAGATGCTGCTAATTTCCGGGTTAATGTGTTCGGAGGCGCGCTGCGTTTTTGAGGGATTCCGCCGCGTGGAGGAGGCCAGCCGTCCCAATTAGGGCCGAACAGATCAGGGAGATAGCGTCTGCCACGCCGAAGGCAGATGCGGTCGAGAGAGAGAGAGTTTAAAGCAGCGGGTTCCTTACTGTAAAGATCTTGTTCTGGTTTTCTGTGGTCGTCCGTCTCTGGCAGGCATACTGAGACACTCTGACCACAGGGGAAGGTGTGGTCACTTGTGGCAAGGCGTCCTGTGGGAGAGAGAAAGTAACCCAAGACTCAGGCTCACGCTCACAAAAGCATACCTACAGCCATGTGAAGAAAAAATATATACGTGCCTTTCTATTCTAAAAAACAACATACATCCTCACAGGAGCAAAAAGACATGTATCGTGGAAGGATTTAGGACTTCTATTCAGTTCATTAAGGTTTCATTTGAGGTAGTCTAGTGTTCTCGGGAAGATTGACAAGCGAGTCAATGTTTCAAACTGTGAAATAATATATATTGGAAATGGCCTCTCAACCCTACACAGATATATGGCCGACAACAAACTCGAAGATCAATGCTCAAATTCCTTTTCAAAAAGATTTGCTTTTCACCGCTTTTATATAAGCGATCTGAGTGCACTTGACAACTTCAGGGAAGTTAAGCCCTAACCCCAAGACCCGGTGTGGACCATGCACTTCTCTCCTTCCTCTTTCAAATAATCTTGTGAACATGAAGGAATGTGTGCATGTATTTATGTCTCAGCCCAGAATGTCGACAGGCTAAATGTGTAAATGTGCGTAAGGCCATTCCTGATGAGCACGGAGCCAATAGTTCAAACGGAGTTACATAAAAATGCGGCCATTTGCTTTGGAGGAGTTATTTTTGCAACGGCGTGTCTCCGGGGCAACAGGATAACGACACTCATCTCACAGACTGGTGGCACCCAAATCCATTACACTACCTAACCCGTGGCATTACAAATCTGCCTGTCATCATCCAATTTGCCCCCTGCGAATTGCCTTTTCATTCCGCCGAGAAACGGTTCCCCATTTGTGAGGCCTGTGTCAAAAGGATTAACAATGTGATATTAATATTCCTGCAGACGATTAAACAGTACAAATCTGCGACATGGCGTCCGTGAAATTACCTGTGGGTTTGTTGGGAGGGGGGGCAGAAGAGAGAGATGGAGGAGATCAACCTACAATTTTGACTGGGCCCAATGCTGAAGGAGGAACTGGATTACCATGATATGCTTTTTTTATAAGGACTAGTGCGTCAGATGCTACTGGGCTGGAGTAAAAAACAAGGAATTCAGTTTTCCTTTAAAAGATAGGTGCGCCTTTAAAGAAAATAGAATATCAAACAATGTATTAAAAAGCTCTATTTATAAGCCAATCGGAAGCAAAAAGTCCCAAATGCTTTGCACTTTTCTTTTTTTTTTACTTCCCGTCGAAGTTTATTTAAGCCAACATGGCATTGAGTGTCTATGGAGACAAACTTCTGTGCATCAGCATGCAGGGGTTGGTTTTCTCCGTCTGGGCTCGTTTATTATGCAGCCGTACTGTATAAATGGGTGGGTATAACTCCCCTCTTGGCTTTTCCTCCTGTGTCCTCTCCACCTCGGCCGTACGAGTCAGACATAACGTAGCTAATGAGCTCAGCCTGCGCGGTTGGGCTCGGCCTCACACACGCCATATGCCGAAGTGAAAGGGTCCCGTAACTGTTCCTGGACCTCGCCCGTTGGCGTGCTCTCCTCCAAGCCGTGGAGACACCCCAGACACGCACATGCCTCCAGGCAGAAAAACAAAGGGAGGTCAGTAAAGTTCCACATCCCCTGAGAAGATGCCAGACTCTCCACCTATGCACCCACCCACCCCCTCCCGCCCTGAGATGCAGCCCATCATCCTCACATGTGCACAAATATGAAAATCCGGCTGTCGACTTTATTTTCAGTCCTTTCAAGCGAGGCATTCTTGCCTCTCGCCGTGTTTCAGGTTAAACAGGCTGAACAGCCCTTCAGCGTGCTGGAGAGTATCGGGCAAAAATGAAATATCAAAAGTTTGTATTAAAGAAAAGCCCCTCCCGACTAGGCGCAGGGTTTTTTTCTTTTGACAGCAAAACAGCTCCAAACCTAAATGAAAAGCTGCCACGGGAAGAAACCTATTTGTGGGACGTTTTTTTTTTATATCCGTGTGCGAGCTCTTTTAACAGATTTATCACTCACGGGAGAACAATCCAGAGTAAGCACCGCCGCATGAATACCAGCGCATTTGATTCCACCAGGAGCCGAATCACAAAAACAGCAGAGAGGTGGGCGCGTGGTTACCTAGGGAGCTGGGTCAATAAATGTCAGCATGGCATTATTAGCCTTGTTTGCTAATCATGGGAACCGTCGCCTTTCCACACGTCCACGGGCCTGTGGAAACGAATCAACAATATGGAGAAGGGGGGGGGCGCTTCACAGGGAGGGGGGCACAAATCATTTAAGTGTCAGCTCAGAGAAAAAATAGACGGGGTCTGGAAAACTGGTTAAACTTGACCGTTTTATTTTTTTTTCTCTCGCTTCGCTGCGGAGGCAAAGGAGACAGCATATTTCTTCATTCCGGGGTCCATATGCCATTCGCAGGGGAGAATATGCGCACATCTGCGAGAAAATGTGTGTGTCTCTCAGTTAGCGGGCTGCAACGAGCCCTGACATCCAGCTGATGGGTTCATTTGACACTCCTACACAGTATGGAGGATGTTTTTTTTTTTTTCATTTTAGTCGCTATCACTGTGCTGAAGTGTGGGAATATGAGCAGAGACAAAGAGAGTTAGACATGGCTTCCTTATGAGAGCTCCCTTTCACCAAGGAGTTGTCATAATAGGCTTGCAGGGGGGAGGAAGGGACATGCGCGGATGCAGAAACTGTAATATATACCTTCACAATGTTCATTAAAGCTAAGATAGGCACAGTATCATGCTCCTCTAGTCATTAATTCCCATTTGTTGCGTGTGCTATGTTTGGACTGCACGCGCACACAGACCTGGATGAGGTGTCTGGTCTCCACAGTAACAGGCCTGCCTTCCCTCATGCTGTCGGTGAACCAGCTGATGTCCAGCACACGCATCCCGGGCAGATTCCTCAGGGGGAAACCCTTCAGCCACGACCAGAGCGAAGAAGCCCGTCTATCCTCGGACACCACGTGAGTGACCACGTCGCTGTGAAACGATGAGAAAAAAAAAAGAATTCCAGCTCAGTCCGATGGGTCGATCCACGCTTGTCAAAGACGGACGCCATGGAAAAATACATTCAGTCTTATGAGCAAATTAGATTTCTCTTTTCATGTTTTGATTTCACCCAAACTAGAAGTTGTTGTTTTATACTATTACTATTAAGTCAATATTCCACATGCAAATACAACGCATGAAGCCAACTTTAAGAAGGCTGCTGTAATGCACTTCAATTTGTAGCTGCAGTTAGTCCTGATTAATCATGATTAATGCGCGTTTTCGCTTCAGTGTTTTCATGTTTCTACCTAATGTGATTGCACTGCGCTGATCTTATTACACTGCAGCTCACTCCAAAGCGTCTATGTTTTTCCTTTTCTTTTTTTTCCCTGCACAACAGACTTTTCTTAAATTATTCCCCTCTACGCCTGGGTGATGTCGAACGGCTGGTTTCCGAATCACTGACGTCAATTAATCTGGCAGGTCATCAATGCTGTTTTCAGGAAACTACTCTGTAGTGTATTACGGTCGAGTAACTTCATCTTACAATCAATTTCTTTTGAGTTCAGAATGAGAAATCTCCGCGTGGCGTCACAGCTGGTTTTTGTTACATGCTGACATTCAACAAACTGTGGCCTTTTTTTTTCTTCTTCTTCTTTTATACTTACATCGATTCGGTGAGATACATCTTTCGCAAAACCTGCCCAGTTCATTTAGCCGGCCTGACCTCTCCGGGAGAAATTTCGAGCATAACCCATGAGGAGGGGCCGCCCGCCAACTACCCAGCTTGTGAGTAAGCGCTTGAAGTTTATGCCATGGAGAAAAAGAAAAAAACATCTCTTGTGTTCTCACACGACTCCGTCACAGTCAGGAAATGGGTGTCAAGGACATGCAAGCGAGGCCTTGCCAACATCTCCTGCCCACATGAAAGGCTATGATGTAATAATGATGAGCAGCTGCTCCCTGTGTCTGCCCCGGGAGGCAGATATTAGTTCAGGATTTTTTTTGCAAATAAGGTATTTGATGTGGTTGCGATGCAGAACATGCAACAGATATAGAGAATCAAAAACAAAAATGAAATTATATAGAATAGAAGCAAAGATGAAAAAATAAATGTAACAATATAGACTAAACTGAAACTAAGAAGAATTCTGGACTAGTAAAAAATTAAATGTTGGTGCAAATGTGGACATTATTGCAGTGCAGTGAGTAATACACAGCAGCTAGGATGTGCGTTAGGGTAATGGTCGGCGTTGTGGGGAGGTCGCAGTCATCGGGGTCCCGGTAGCAGAGATTTTGGTCCTGGTGAGACACACTCTTTTGCCGGGGAGAGCCTGAATGAGCCCGTGTGAGGGGTATAAGCGGTCAGCAAGAATCTTTCTGCCGTACGGAGATGGCAGGTGGCAGCCAATCACCTTCTCTGCAGACTGATTGACATGCTGCAGCCTGTCTTTGTCCTTGGCGGCGGCAGCAGCGTGCCAGATGGCGATGGAGGAGGTGAGGACGCTCCATCGTAGTCTCTGGCGGGTTCAGCTACTTCAGCTGCCACGGGATGACCATCCTCTGCTGGGCCTCTCTGGTGGTGGAGCTGATGTTGACTCCTAGTTAAAGTCCTGCGTGATGGTGGTGCCCAAGATGGAGGTGGGGGACGCTGGGTACTTTCTGAAGTCAGTGATCATATCCACCGTTTTTAGAGCATTGATTCCCAAGTTGTTACCGGAGGAACTCGTTGAGCGAACCAATGAGGGCGGTGGTGTCAAACTTCAGGAGTTTGACAGATCAATGTCTTGATGGGATCCGGTGCTGATGGTTTTGGGGTCAGTGACATGCTTCCAGTCTAACTTCTCATACGAGCTTTTTACTTGTTTCATCATCCATCAATTCCTCCAGCGTGCTATCCATCTGCACAATTTTACCCCAAAAGTCAGTATTGGTTTCTTCAAGATTCGATTGGTATCTTGAAGACTCGATATGAAACATATTGGCAGTCGGATCCCTCCTTTCCAAGACTGCCTGTGGGGTTTCTCAAATTCCAATAGAAAATCTCCATCCATAGCATTGTCAGCTGGTTTTACACGCATACCTTCACACATATACTGTACGTAACATAGGTGCCAGAACAAAGTGAAAAATTAGATTTTTAATGGAGGGAGGCTTTTACAAATGTCCTCACTCATGACTGGCTGTGTTACAAAGTAGAAATAAATTAATCAATCAGCAAGAGTTTCTGGGGTGCCGTGAACTGTATGAGTGATCCTTCACTGCTCGATTTAACAACAAGAGCATTCCCGTGCTCGCCTCACAAGAGAGCAGGGTTGCACTCTGACGCTTTTGAAATGCGGCTCGGATCTCAGCATCACAGTCTTACCCGTGCTGTTCGGGGATCAGCACAGTGTAAACAACAATCACCACAGACCCTCAGAGCCTCCCTTCGCTTTTTGAAAGCTGAAGTCATTCAACCAGTGCCTCATTCATCTCCGCAGAGACGTTCTCAACAGACTTTTATTACAGCTTCCTCTCTCCTGCTCCCCCTGTATGGAATCTAAGTACCATACCCAATCAGGGCACTCAGCCGTGCATAATTAACCCCGGCATGCTCCTCCTCCTTGCTCTCTCTTGGCTTGGGTAAATCAGTGGAGAGATTCCTTATGGGAGGTCCTTGGCAGAGCTAAGGCTGCACCCCCCTAATTGGTCAAATCACTGGCGAAACTAATCTTCTATCTTCTCAACATACTGGTCTGACCTCTTGTAGGTGGTCCCTGATTTTTAACACAAGCCCCATTGGCGCAAAAGGCAGAGAAACTGTCAAACAAGCAAACAACACCAGCACTATTTTCTCCAAATGCTGAAATTCCCTTAGTGTGAGCCATTCTGTGAGCAGATAGGACTCAGGGGCAGATTTCCATGGGATGATCACCATGGCTTGGGTTTGCCCATAGTGGGGATCAGAGAAAACTATGATCAAATTTACCAAAATGTAACACAACCCCCAAATTTGAATTCGTATCATTGCATGTGGCTGCACAGAATGTAAAAGACCAGATTGATATGCAAATGAGGGAGAAATTGAATCCAACACCACATTGTATTCCCCTGAATTAGTGGGCCTCCAATCCCAGACACAAGGACAGACTACAGTCAGTTGGCTGGGATATGAACTCACTCGAGTTGTTTCTTGGCTCCACTCCTGTCAGCAGCTACCCTACTATTTTTCCCAAAAATGAAAACCAACAGACTGATCAAAGGCAGACTACGCCCAGAACAGATTTCCCCCCATGACAGGGTTTCCTGTGTTTTCTCTTTCGCAGCTGCTCCTGCATCTTTCACGGCGTTCCAAATCATCATTAGGGAAATATTTACCATTGCAACTAAATTAATACATACATTGCGTCACATTAATTTGTTATTAAATTCCCTGATTTTTTGGCTGCTTCCGTTCATGCTCAACCTAAATGCCACATTAAAGAAAAACAATATGAGGAGGTGGCTAGTGGGATTTTACTTAAATGCACCATTGAGCAGCAGTTGTCTAATCAAAGCGCTCAAAGCTGGATTTCCCTGTACATTGAACCAGTGCAAACAGGGTGGCAGTAAATGGCATGTCAGTATCGGTGATGTTGGCACCCGGTAAATGTCATCGCGGACTGTGTATTAAATCAAAAAGTCCTTTTGATGTATTTGACCAAGGGAACAAAATGGCCTATATTTGTTAGAACAGCTGCAAAAGACAACATTAGGGATTAGCATCAACAGAGAAACTGTACAAATTATCTATGGTCATAAAGGTAACCTGGCCCTTCATTTACCCCATCTATATTTAGGTTCTGCGCAGACGCTGTAGTTGCTTTGTTTCAGCTGCACGTCCTGCCTACCTAATGTCAAATAAAGGCCACTTCAACCCAAAATACCTTTAGAAAAAAATACATACACACCTTAAACACGCTAACATTTATCAAACATATTTTAAAAGCTATATACTCAAATCACTTAGCAGTCACCTTTAGCTTCTTATTTGACTAAAATAGGTTCTTACATGAATGACTGAGAAAGGTCAAGTAATATAATATAATAGAATATATGGCTTTGACTTGATTTGATCTCTCTTCTCTCGCTGTTGGAATCTATTGGTCATTAAAACCACAAAATAATTCGACAGTCACGTTCTGATTATTTTGCTGGTAATTGCTTTCATGATCATTCATCAAACAAATCTATCTTTAGTATTACAACAATATGGGTCCGTGGACCCCTATTCAAACCAGCTACAATAGCTTTCCTGTTCTATTTATTTCCTAAAGAGTTCCAAATTAACAAGCTCGGTGCGTGATCATTTTGTTAGTCACTTCTACTGACAAAAACAGTTGACAGCCCCAAATATTTACTTGTCAAATCAGAAACCAAGATACAATGTGGTCAAAGTATCAGTTAATTACTTGCATACAACCTAAACTGATTCAAAAATTCCTGAAGCGCAAACTAAACCGATAAGATGATGCACTACAAGCTGTGCTGATGATTTCAAATTATGTATATTTTCAGTTTCTGGAGTGGGCATGTTTGAACTGTTACAAATGAATGCATAAATCGACTTGTGCCAGTCGCATATGTTGTGTGTATTACTATTTTCCTTTACTAACCCAGATCTCTGATGCTTGGATAGGGTTGTTAAATCAGGACAGGGCACGGTTTAAATACCCCAACAACATACCGGATCTCTTTCCAAGGGATACTGAAGCATATCCGTGGGAAATATCATTCTGCATCTGAGCAGATGGTCTTCTTAAGTCTTACATAAAAGAACACACAAAACCCTCAAAAGAAGCAAGAAGCAGGCAGCTGTGGGCACTTGTGGAAGGCTTAAAATATTTATGTTTTACACGCCTGTCGCCCATTGTCAGCCGGAAGACCCCCCCCCCAAACCCCATTGAGTATAAGCGGTATAGAAAATAGATGGATGTTAAAAAACATGGAAATGCCATAACCAGAAATACCATAACTCTAACCCTACTTCCTGCTCGGATTTAGTCAATAACATGACTTGAGAAGAATACTTTTTTTTTTTAAGATTTCCACAACGTGACCATAGTGGTGCGGATAAATTTGGACCCTTTGTATACAGTTGGCTTCTAGAAATCCCATAACTTTTTAACTTGTCCATTGGCTAGAAATGACGTCCTCCAACAATCAATGGCTCCATTTAATGGAGCAAGGCAGTTGCTTATATGAAGCAGAAAAAATCAGAAACACGACTACCTGCAATGATGAGGCTGTAAGAATAGAACAGCTAACCTGATGTGGGGCAATGATCCTTAGATGTTCAAGTCTACAAAAAACTGACAGAAAATCTAAAATCAATTTCTGTTACAGCATTGCAATTTTGAGCATCTTATAAATAATCTATTTAAAAAGACAGATTACTAGTAGTTTTTATTCACTAGGAGCTCCTCCAGTTCTAGACATCAATAGTGAACTTGATCCACTCGCAGCATTATGCCAAAAGTCTTTCTAAAGATGTTCCGTGTTTTTAAATTAAGATTGTAGAATGTCAGCCTTGCTTGTGATAGAGCATCAGCGTCCGGACAGGACTCACAACTGCACTTACTTGCATCCATTAGATAGATGTCATTTTTGCCCCCACTGGCACAATTGGAGGGAATTTTGCAGAATTATATATGATTTGCTTTACATTGTCAACGACAAAACAATCATTTATAGGAAAAGAAAATCCACAAATCAAATCATTTAACTTCTCTAACTGACTTAATTTGCTTCCTTCAGACTCCTCCAATTTTCCCCAGTCTGATTCTAAATGGCTGACCATTTCTATCCCTAAATGTGTAAGAATTTGCTCCCACCTTCTGGATTAAGGGAGAGCGGATGATGCATTTTGTTCAAATTTGGCAGCAAAGTTCTCCAAGCTTGAATGGAAACATCTAGAAGTAGTTGTGTTAATATATAAATATTAGAAACTATTGGTAAAAAAAAAAAAAATGAACTGGTTTCATACCGATGTGACATACTGCCATTAGTGCAGTAAGCATGTCAAAACTGGAACCAATGTTTACATGCATGGAGCTTAAAATTCAGACCAGGAGATATGTGTTGTTTTTTTTTCTTTCCATCTGGTCTGTGTTTTGGTACGCGCGAGCATGTCCCTTTATGCACCGAGGAACCCACAGTGTTTCTGACCATATGCCGAAGGCAGCCCGCCTATAACTTGTGTGAGACTAGATACGGGAGGTGTTGCTATCAGGCTGCAGCTGATGTCAGTTTTGTCGGCTTGCTGAATTAATGTCAGTTTGAGGCAGGCACGCTCTACTTCCTGTCGTTGGTTTCAAACAATTGTATCAAGCCAAGTGTAACCATAGGAGAGCTCAAGCTGTGTTTCTGGGAATGCTGCCACGGCCAAGCTGGCGCACGGCTGGCAGGCAAACTAAGAATTGAATTCAAACACTTTCCTTCTCACATAAACACACGTTGAGCACACTGTACCTGTAGGGAACCTTTTACTACATAACAGAAAATGTATTTAGTTGGTCCCCCTCCTACTCCCCCTTTCCATAAATGAAAATAAAGCAATAGAAAAAGCAGACACACACACACACGTACACAGCCGCCTCACCGAGAAGCTTCAAATCTTGGGTGTTAGCCCCCTGGCCCTGAAAACAAATCCACTTTTTTTTTTTTATAAAAGAGAAGGATGCATCAAGAGTATCAACAGCCCTAAATGGAACTGACTGAAAGGCATCTGATGCCAAAAACAGGGCTTCTGCTTAGTACTTTCACTCAGAGACAGGGAATGAGAAAAAAAAAACACAAAAAAAACACAGAAACAAAGAAACCGTAGAGCTCCCACAATCATCACACACCAGATGATCCATCACTTTAAGGAGCAGGCACCTGAAAACTCTTTTCTTTGGTGAGACTTGACTAAAAAAACTTTGTTTTATTTCCTCCACTGTGTGTAGTTTTCTCCATGCCAGCAGGAGAATCCAGTTTAGACCATTTTTGCTCTAATTGTAAACTAGTTTTTGTTGTAGCTGTGAGCTATGGCTCTTTTCTGGGTAGGGCGGGGGGTTCCACTAAATTGAAACAGATTTAAGATGGATGCAACAATAAAAAAAACTCTTTTTTCAATTAACTGTTCGGCTCTAAAATTAGCTCAGTGGATCCTAACTTCTGAAACGAAATAAAGGTTGTTAAGGAAATGGAACAAACTAATCAGTTACCGGGGGAGTTTGTTTTAGTTTTTTTTTTCCAGCATCCTCCTAAAACTCTCTGGCATGTTTTTCAAGGTGTGCACAGGTAGAGGATTCAGATTTCTGCCCATAAACGCAACATTTCGGCTGCTGACGACTGTAAATTGACATTTATTCCTGTCTGAAGTCTTTATAAGCTGAGCTGTCGGACGACAATTTTGAGCATCAAAGACAATGGAAATGTTGGACAATATTCTATATGTCACATCCTGTTTAGTTTTTTTAAAAAGCTTTAAGATGAGAGAACAAAAATGTCTTCTTTTTCTCCAACCTGAGAACGTCTTCCACGATGAAACCCTTTGTCCTTGCCAGCTTGGTCAGGAAGCTTCTCCGGCTGCTGCCCATTTTCCTCTCCACCAGGAAAATTCGGACATCCACAAACTTTGCCGGTTGGCGCCCACAGGCGCCGCCGTCCTCCGGCCTGGACCTCTTCTTCGGATTGATGCGGAGCATGTCTTCACAGCCAGTTTCTGCACCTCTAGGAATTTATGCTTTGGCGATCTTTAGAGATTGTCGTGATGTGTTATTGCCGTCAGGGGGAAAAAAAAAAGACACCCACTTTGGTTGGTAAGGGGACAGTTGTTTATATCACACTTTATCCCCCCCCCTAAATGTGGGATGGTGCTTCAGCTGGAGCAGAGTTGGTGAGAGTTGGCAGTTAGAAAAAGGCGTCTGGCAACAGGTGTTGAGGATTTGGTGTTTACAGGGGGGGAAAAAACACCTGCCAAGATTGAATGATTCAATGCTGGAAAAAAAAGTTATTGTTACTGTTATTTTTTAAAATCATCTTGCCATGATAATAATTCACGTCCGGTAAAAAAAAAAAAAAAAAAGCTGCCCACTCAGGAGGAGTCAACAACCTGATCCAGAGGCTTCTCAAAAAAGAAAAGCTGCTCGGAACTTTTCACGGAGTTTGTGCTACTCTTGGCAAGAGCAAACCCTGACCCCTGGGAGTTTCCTGAATTGTGAGGGGGTCACAGACCCTTCGCAGCTGTCTTCCCGTGTCCGGTTGGTCTCGCTACTCACCGTCTCATTATGTCCAGGCCGAGTCTGCGCCATCTGCTGCGAGGCTCTTTTAATTAGCTCACCGCCTAAAAACCAGAGCGTTTCTGTGGGCCTTTTTCCCCCCAGAGAGCGCGCGAGCTCGCGCACACCCAGGTACTGCCTGTGCAGGCCGTCGGTGATTAGCGGCGTTTTACCCGGGGGAATAAAAAACTGCACGCGCAGCGGTTCGGAACGTAAACCGAATATAATGCTTTCATCTCCAAAGAAGTAATTACAGCACGAGACGTCCGCCCAGCACCAGTCGACAAAGCCAAAGGTTTATCTGTGCCTGTAATGCCTACGGTAATTCATTAAAAAGATGCATCTGGCGGGGGTAGACCAGACCGGGACGACTGGCGGATTCCGGCAAAGCAAATCAAATGAGGTAGAGTCCTCCTCGCCTCGCAGAAAAGTCTCACACGACGCCCATTAGCGTCGAGCTACAGGGGCTAACAAGTGTCAAAGGGCGGCAAGACTAATTGTTTGACTGTGCACCCCCCCACACACACACACACACAATGGGTAGGTGTGTATATGAGGGAGCTGGCCCACATCCAGACCCACACCGATGAAACTCCACCGTTACTCTGACAAATGGCTCCGACAGAGCCAACACAAATCGCTGCAAAAGAGCTGGTTCTCACACTGCTCTGACTTTCTTTAGGTAGCTTTGGAGCGTTATTTCATTTGCATTAAATTAAGTGTGCAAATATTTCAAGTCAACATTTTTCACAGTGGAACAAAGAAGACATATCTATTGGGGTGTTTTTTTTGTTGGGAAACATTTTACTGCATTTAGTACCTTGAAGTTCATAGCAAGGACACATCTCAAAGAATGTGGATAGGGGCCAAAAAAGTTAGAAAAGTAACTTGGGAGAATAATTTGGTACTAAAATATTAAAGAGCCCCTTAGAGAGGCAATGAAAATACAATATTATGATATATATAATATTACAATTATATAATATTATAATATAGTTATATATTCTAATAATTATATTATATTTAACTATATTCTATAAAATATAATGGACCATTATCTGACAGCATCAAACAGATTCTGAGAGTTTAGTAACCAATGTGTGTGCAAAAGGAACATGCCGGATATTAATTCTATGTGTCCATGTGCTTTAATCTTTCAGGTTCCAGACATGATTATGTTTTGGAAACCGTTGCATGGGCTCAGGAACACTTCTGACACCTTTTTCTGCACACAGCTCCCCATGCCATTTAAAAATGCAGGTCAAAGCTCTCCTGTCCAAAAAAATAAAGCTACGTGTGAACAGGATTTTCTTTTTTAAAACGGCATTGTCTTCTCTGAACAGAGGCTCATTTAAAATGGACTGGGGCAAGGTGTAAAGCTGTGGTCAGATGAAACTGAATCTAATATTATGTTCATTATATTTGTTAATAGTGCCTTCAGGAAAAAGGAAAACCCTGTGTTTCTAATGATACAGGTAAGCATTGGTACCTGTAAAACTGGAAGTCGCATATTTGGTCATGTAGATTTATCAATAATTCTTTATCCTACGCTAACACATACCCTGTACCCCCCCTCTTTCTACCACTGTCACCTCGGACTGAGTCTGACTACTGATTTCCTTCTATGTAGCGTAATGTTAGCTTGATGTTAACTGTAATTTTGTGTCTGCACTGTAAGTCAAGTTAAGGTGTACACTCTTCTGAGTTCAACATGTTTAGCTTCGTGGACTTGTGAGTTTCTCTGAGAGTTGGTTCTGAGTTTGTAGTTTTTCTTGTTCTTATGTTGGTTCCATCCATCCATTATCATTATTCCCTAATGGGGTCGCAGGGGGGGCTGGGTCCACCAGTCCATCAGAGGGCCACACAGAGACACACAACTGTACACACCGACACTCACTCCTACAGGCAATTTGGAATGTCCAGTCAACCTAACATGCAGGTTTTTGGACAGTGGGAGGAAGCCGGAGAACCCGGAGAGAACCCACGCAGACACAGGGAGAACATGCAAACGCTACCCAGAAAGGTCCTGGTTCCCCCAGGACTCAAACCCAGAACCCCTCTTGCTGCCAGGAGATGGTGCGAACCCCACCACACCATCCTTGGCTTTAGTTTCAGCTATCTTCAGTTTCCTTGGTTTTGTCATTGCTATGTGTCCCGTCCATTTCCTGTGCCCTCCTTTTTGCGTCTCTGTAAATTTCACTTCTTGTAATAGCCCTTTGTCCTCGGTACTTTTCCATCCTGATCAAATGCTCCACTTCCCTTCACCTGTGCTTCCAGTCCTCAGCTGCCTTCATTCAGTAATCACTTGCCCCTGCACACAGGCTTTCCTGGTTCATTTACCCTTTGTCGGATCCTTGACCATTCATCCCCAGTAAGTCTGTGTGTTCACGTATTGTGTTGCTATGTTGTCTGTCCTCTGGCTTTGTGTTCAAAGCTTCTTTTTTATTGTTGCATACCCCTTAGTCTACTAGTTTTAATGTCCAGTGTAATTTTGGAATACCAGCCAATGTATTTTTTTGTGAGGGTTTTTTTAAATCCTCACAAGAAAAAAAAAAATTAAATATAAGTTTCCCCCAGTTCAGTTCATGTCCATATCTTGGTTCTCAGCCACTTCACCATCATGATTTGTATATACAGGTTTGAGACCAACATATCCTGCCATTCAGACTTTTTTTTTATGGCCTAGCCCTACATGTTTCAGCCATATCACATACTGATTGAAATAATTATAGTTTTCAACTTGGGGATCATGGCATTTTATTTACTGTTTTACACAATATTAGTCTTGAGTATAGGATCTTTTGAAAATAATACAAAATGAGGAAACTTTGTTTTTCTTCTAACTGCATTAAATGGTTAAAGTATACCTTATTGTTTTATTAGCACCTTTTTGGTTTTTAAACTGGGTGATTCTATGCTTTGTCACATCTAGCAATTATTGGATTATTATTATTATTGGATGTGATAAATCATAAAATCCCACCAATGGCATTAGATATATTTTGCTATTAGAGGTACAGAAAAGAAGCGAGCATGGCACTGTTGAAGACTTAGCAACATTTTTGATAGTGAACCGTGGCTGTAAATCCGAACATGGATGCTTTCAGGCAGTCAGAAAAGTTGGCGTGCACTTTTCTTATGCCAGTTGACGTGTCAAAAAAGTGTCAAGGTCAGTAAGCTTTCAACATTTCTGAAATGAGCAGCCAAGAGAGCATCAAAAGAATAGCAGAAAAAAAGCAGCCTCAAGGTAAGTCTTACTATCCCGTTTTCTTGCTGAAGTGTTGCTTTTTTGTATCATTAATATTTCAGAATACGACTGCTACCTGAGGAAGTACAAGGGGCCTGACTCTAAAGTCAGAGGTGGAATTTACGGTTTTGTTTTTAGGGTGCCTTTGGTTTGTTTTTAATTTATTTTGCTACAATGATTACTCTAAGTTATGAATTGTGTTTCTGAGTAGTTTTATTTATTTCCAACCATGACATGGCAGCAAACAGCCCAACCAGCATAGCATTTAGCGGCCTAGGACTGCTAATAGCTAGCCCAGCTCTGCTAATGCCGGGCTAGCAATTAGCAATAGATGCTCCAGCTGCTTGAGTTTCAAACCAGGTTTGAATTCTTTCACTTGCTCAGTTGGCACAGCTCTAGTTGACCACAAGCCAGATCAGTAGCTGGTTTTAGCAGCAATATCAACTGTACATAATGACTGCTCTAAAAATTGTCCTTCCTGCTTCACCAAACCGATGCTGCTGTAGGAAATGAGCCAATGGAGTCATTTGATTGTGTCAGTTTAAAACTTATCTGAACTTTTCCTTGTGTTTTTTGTTTGAAAAGTAGAAATGAACATCCTCCGGGACATAGTCCTGCGGTTGGAAGTTGAAAGAAAAATTAAAGCTAACCCTGGCATCTTTGTGTATTGCTTATAAAAACCGCAGCTTTTCACAACCGTGCTCCTTTGATGAGGTCCATCTGCACCATCTAATGGGGGGTCAGGGTTAATCAGCCTTTCTTGCTCTGATGGATGTTTGAATCTATGTTGGTTTACATGTGGAAGTGCAGGAGCCTGCCGAAAGCAATTAGCTCCAAAACGTAAACCATTTGCTTGCATCTCCATCCTTTCTGGGCTTTGGCACGAACGCTGGACTTAAATGGTTTTGATGATCCCCGGCAAAAAAAGATCTACACTGTACAATGTACAGTTCTTTTTACAGGAGGTTAAGACTCCATTTTCAACTGCTCCATCTCAGCTCCATTCCTTTAGATGGGGATGATTTTCTTTTTTTTTTTCAAAAAATAGCCATAAGCTTGGGGTTTTTTTTGTTTCTTGCTACCGTCATATAATTTTGAGTCAAACCTGTTTCGAATCATACTTCCAGTTCTGACTTGTGTGAAGGCTGAACATTCTCCACACAAGTGATGAATTTCAGATGAAATAGTGCTGCCATTAGCAACATTTCCACCTTCTTTGCTCCAGAATCTGACTAGCCTTGC